TACATGTAAAATTTAAAAGACATGAGAAATGCACATAATCAAGGGTAACAGTCACTTGAAAAAAGTTAGTGTAAAGCTCAGGTGTAAGCAAAGACGTTTTACAGACTTGCAGTAAATCCACTGCAAACCCTAAATCTCTGGAAAGAGAAGATTTGCAGAAACCATTTTGTCTGAAGATTTAGCTTTTATCTATTGCCAGTGCAGTATTTTCTTTCAGGCACTGTTCTGAGAAGCAATATGAAACAGCAGGTAACTTGTACATTAAGTCTTTGTGCTAGAAATAGTCCCCTCGCAGGTACTGGCCAAGTAGTGCATGATGCCATTTCTGCTGGTAGATGACTCCTATAAAATTTCAATTCTGATGAATATGGCTATTGTAGCTATATTTTCTCATCTGCCAGCCGTTTGCTTTCCTGAGGAAAGGCTGTTTTGTCTTGTTAGCTTGTCACTTTGATTTGTAAAGAACTAATAGGGGGTCTGCAACTGTGATGCTAATTTAGGGTGTGGATAACACTGCAGGTTTTGCCCCGTTACACAACAAGGACATGCACTTGACACAGAAGGTTACAGTGGTCTTGGTCATATTTGGATGTTAAAATATATTAGAAGAGAAAGAAGCTTATGTGTTGTGATGTTTCTGCAGTTTTGGAAAGTGGTGTATATTTCATAACTTCTTTTGCATTTGTATAAAATATGCTGTTGCTTATTTTCTGACACTTCATAGAACACATAGAACTTCATCATGAGTTAGATTTTTCAGAGGAAGCCAGGTAACAATTGCATTGTGTATTGTATGGTTCTAACACGTTAAATGACATTTTTTGATGAAACAGTTGATTAAGATAAATATATTATTTTCTGTTAAAGCATATATGCTCTCTTGAGTTGTATGAACATATTGTGGAACTGTTCAAAAGCCTTATATATATATTGAAGGGCACGCAGGTTTATCTTTTGAAAGCCTGTGAATTTAAAATAGATAAAAGTTATAGTATCCTGTTAAATACAACAGAGTATTCAAAGAACATTAAGGAAGAGCTATTAATATCTTGTTGATTAACTCTTTGGTAGTATTTGTCTTCAACTGTAACACATCTTGAGTGTTCAGTTTACTGCTTTGCTACAGTAACTACTGACAATGAATTACTGTAGGATGTACTTCTAAAACTCATGTTCTGTAAATACAGTCCATTTGTCACTACTGTTAGTTCAGCTTGACTTCCAGCTGGAAATATGTGAACCTGGGCTTGCTGAAAGTTATATAAATGTCCTGACTGCTATTGTTTGAGATATCAGGGAGTGTGTGGATATAGATAAGTATCTTAACTATTTAGCTTCTGGTCTGAAGTTGGCAACAGCAAAATCACTAAGTTGTATATCATGAAACTTTAAGTTTCATTTTGGTAATCTATTACATCACCAGGATTTTCTTATGCTATACATTATAAAATATCAGCAGAGTTGATTTCTGAGAGAAAAGCATGCATGTCAGTTTCAAATTAGATCATAACAAAAGTAGGATAAGGCAAAGGAATCTGGTTTTTGTTCCCTTTATTGCATTTCATTTTACTACATGCTGGTCTGCTGCTTGGATCCCACTGGCTCTGCCTAGTGTCATTCAGGTAGGTGCCTGTGCTGTGCTGCCCTGGTTGTGTGTGGACCTGAAGCCCTGGCACAGCTTGCTCCCTTGGGCTTTGGGCCTCACTTCTGATGTGTTCATGTCTCATCCATTTCCTGTTTAATGGGAGAAGCTCTTACCTTATATGACTGTAGTTTTTCAGTATCCCCTTAAAATCATTGCAAGGAGGAGTTTCCATCTAGCCGCTTAGCAGTGCCTTCAGTTCAGTGCTGCCAGTGCTTTTGAAGTCCTGCTGATGTCCTGTTATCTGAACTGGAAATTGCTTCCTTCTGATGATCTGTAGCAGGGCTTTTTACCTCATTTTAGCAGGTGATTTGCAGCTTGCTTATAGCATTGAGGCTGGGAGCAGGGAGCAAACAGGCAGGAAGCTTGAGTGGTTCAGAATTTTCCCCCAAATTGCAGGGAGCAGGAAAATGTGAGGTTGTCATGTTTGGTAGGATCTAAAAATAGATGAAGTTGACTCCACCCCTCCATGACTTGCTTCCAGGAACATGTTGAGCTGTTGTGCTAATGAATGTGAAGTGTATTTAATACATGTGCAGTCTATTTCCTACCATCTCTCAAATTCTCCCAGTGCTCTTAAGAGTTTTAAAATAGCCTTTTTCATCCAGTTTTCTGAACTAAACCTTTAATTTTAATGTGAGCTCATTTAATATGGGATGAAATTCTGTTTCAGATAAATCCAAACAATTTGACTTCTATAGGTGCACCTTCCAGCACTCAAAACAGTTAAATTTAATAATGAAAAGGTCAATAATTTTCCAAGTGTATTGGAGAAGTTATTTTCCTTTCTTACAGGACTTTGTGGTGGTCATACATTTTTCCTGAGCCTTGAGAAATGCCTTTAAAGCATTGCTTGAACATTGCTACATAAGTGATTTTACAAGCCACATTTTTCATGCTTAAAATGATTAACCACTATTAGCCTTTAACAGCTTTTCTGTGTGATATATAAGCTGTTATGTATAAGCTGTTGTATAGCAATGCTATCCAGAAGCTGTTAGGTTATATATAAGGGTACACAGTACTAGGAGCTTCCCGCCTAAAAAGGTGGATGCCTATGAGGAAGAAACAGTATTCACGCAAGTCAAAAAGGGGTTAATTAGCACTTTCTATGACACGTATTTTATCAGTCAGTGTAACTCTTGAAGCTGGAAGGCTTTAGACTAATAAAGAAGAAGAAAGCCACTTCAGGAAAACGGATCTGCAGTGAGCTCTGAGGAGATCTGAGCAAACAGCTCTGTTTGTTTGTAAACTGCTGTAAGAGCCCATCTGATGATGTAATTTCTGCCTCTGATGAAACATTCCTACATGTCTCTCTGCTGCTAGACAACCAGTTTTGTGTTCGAGGTCAGGTCTTTCTTCATTAACATCTTGGTATTCATGCTTTTGTGGGAGAAAGTGTAGGTTTCTCTTATGCAGGGGCTTGATCTTTGATGAGGAACTGATGTCAGTTTGACTGCCAACCAAATTGGCTTTGGCTTTACAGTCTGCTGTTGATAGTTCATTTGCAACTTGCATCTTGTGCCTTTTAAATATTTCACACATGCAGTGGCAATGATTGAAATTTAACATGCACATTTTCCAAAGCGTGACTTAAAATAAAATAGTATACAAAGTTAAAGCAAAACAGTTGTTAAAAATGTGCTTTTTAAGGATATATTGTGGGTTTTCATGGTCTCCTACATTTGATGCTTGCTTTTCCTCGTCTTGATACAGTAATTTTAACAGAGCTTCTTTTGTAAGCCTAAATTTTGCATTTGAATATGCACTTATTAGTCTTAAATATTGCATGTTAATAGAAGTCTGAGATATATTCCCTAAAACATTTTGCATATAAAAGTAACAGTATCTTAAAATTCGGTAATTGTTCTGGTAAGCTTATGGTGGCTTAAATTCTAGAGAATACACTGTATTACCAATGCAGAGGCCACAATTTTACTGAGGTGACAAGCCCTTTCCTTCTCGACTCTTATTCCCTCACAGTAAGAAATCTGATTGAAAGAGCATAGCATGTAGAAGCAAGCTGGCAACTTTCCCTCTGTGTGAGCTCAAGGACTGAAGATTATATTGCTGTGGGTCTCCAGAAAGGATTATGCTGCTGACGACAGTCACATGTTACAATTTTGCTCTGCCATGTAAATAGATTTGTGTTTCTATTACAGATACTGGCCCTGTTAGTTATAAAATAAATATGAGATATGAAACATATTTTCCAGAAGGTAACAACTTCAGAAGTGTCATTACTATCTATACTGACCCCTGAAATGGGAAGAAAAATTGAGCTTCAGCAAGAAGGAAAGAAACCAACCAAACAAAAAACAGGGCAGATTTTCTTCAGTGTGAATCTGGATATTCAAGGCAGCTAGTTAGCTGTGCTGGTACTGTACAACACTTGGATCAAAGAAAACCGTAATGCAGCTATGCTCTCTTTTAGCTGGGTTTGAGTCATGTAGTCCAGAAGAGATTGGTCTTTGTTTTGGAAAAGCAGTTCAGCTTTGCAGCTGCTGGAAAGGATTGAACTGAGCTGTCAGTCACTGACCCAGATACCTGCACGCTTAACTGGCTGACACAGAGATGTAACACCGTACATTTTTGCTGCCTTCGTATGACGTGCAAGGCCATGCATTGTCAGGTGCACATAACTGATCCCTTCAGCCTAGGTGAGGTACACTGTGACCCCCCGCTAAGGTAATAAATACAACATGAAGCAAAAACTGACAAAGACATAGCTTAGACCAGCTGTGGTTTTTATTCTTCGTGGGTAGTATGATTACAGGAAAATAACATATTCGGTATAAATGCAGCATTATTCTCAAAAGTAGTTTAGTTTTATACACCAAACCAAACTGTGTTGCTTTTCCCTTTCTTCCTTTTCCCCTCCTTTCCTTCCTCCCTCCAAATATACCAATGTCATCATCCTTACCACCTCAAGACTAGTTGACGGAAACTGTTGGAGTATTTTCAGTTGTTTTAAACTGTAGAGATTTTTTTCATTTCTATCCCTAGAGGCCTAAAATGCTGTTTCTTTGCCTCTTAAAATCATATTAGTCTTACTTTATCATTTATCATGAGGATGATCATGTTTCTCTTCCTCTCATTAAGTCACAAGCTGTCTTGATTTTTTCTTTCATTTTCAGCCCAATAATTTCTTATGTAAAACCAATGATTATAGCAAACAAGCTTTGCTTTGTCATAGTATTTCAAAGGTGAAAATCAGGACTAACTAAATAAGATGATTTTGCACTTGCAGACTGAAATAAGAAGTGCTCATCTAGTGGATATTATGATGCATTTCATGTAGTAACGCTTACTAAATAAGTGTTGTAATTTTTTTTTCTTTTTTTTTGTCTATTATTAGGATCCATACTATAGATTTAATGACGTGACGTACAGGTGGATCTCGCTGGATAACTGGACTTACAGCAGGACGTTCAAAACTCCTTTTGACTTCAGGTGAGCAGTAAAGATATGTCTAAGATAGTTCTGGGTCATCTTTCCTGCAGAACTGTGAGTTAATCTGTCAGCTCAAAATCTGCTTAATACTTTTGTATCTAATAAAACAAATTATGCAATAATGTGCAGCTGAAAAACTTGCTAAAGAGCACTTCAATAGTTGCTTTTTCTTGTGAGTTTGTTTTGTTGCTTTTTCTTTTCAATTGTTAAAAAGTTATTTATGAATTGCCAACTGAGGAAGCATAATAATTGGGCTAATTGGAAACTAGCCCTTCTGATCTGGTGGGTATGTGAACATGCTGTAGTGCAGACTTGAGCCATTTCAGCTGTCATCTTAATTTGACTCTGTAAAGAAATAATATAGCCACACTAAGTCAAATGTTTTTGGAGGTAGTGGAGGCAACTGCTGCGAAAGATAATGGTGGTATGCATTTTTGTATTTTCTGTCTCCTGTGTGTTGTTAACTCTGTGTATTCTAACAGGTTTTTTTGCATTTGTTATCTTCTGTAGAAAGTGGCAGAAAGTGAATTTGGTTTTTGAGGGAGTGGATACAGTAGCACAGATCCTGATTAATAATGTCACTCTTGGGAGAACAGACAACATGTTCAACAGATACGTGAGTAATGTGTTTTCTTCTGAAGGTAGTTCTGTTTTTTCTTCAAAGCCTTTTTGTGCTGAGCACTTTCAGTGCATTTAAGCACACAAGGTGCTCAGACACAGAACCTGTTGACCTGAGGACTGCATGTGTAATCTGATAACCGTTAGAACAAGAAGTATAGTTACCTTTCCATTAGTAGCAAGGTCAGATCTAGAAGTGAATGTGCCTTGTTCTAAATGAGTGGCCCCATGCAAGAGGATTAGTTCAGCTTCTTCAGCTATGTCTTGCTTCTTGTCACAACTCCAAGAAAACATGAGCTTAAATCTGTTATATTAGCTGTAAGTCTGCTAATTGGTATTAGAGTGGTTTGCATGTGAATACTAAAATGAAAATGCACGTGTTGTAAAGCCTTTGTGTTTCCATGCCATTTTTTTATATATGGGTTTGATTTTCTAATATTGGGCTTTTGATAACATTGCCTTGCATTTTTGAGCTTATCTTATGTTAAGCATGGGAGTACTCATTCTGTGGCAAAACCAAACTAATACAAATTAATTTTATAGCTTTAAAATACAAAATTATTCTGGGTACTAGCATAAGGGACAATCCTTGCTTTTAATAGAATCAAAAAAGAAAAGTTAAAGGAAGAATGTTAATGGAATACTGAAATAATATTAGTGGAGTAACTGAATTATAAAGGCAATCTGGTGTCTTCATATCTCACCATTTACCATTCTGGCAGGTTTTATTGCAGAGGTACTGGCCTAAGACATGAGAGCTAGATTCTGCCACCTCGGTGTGTGTACCTGGACCAAATAATTTAGATTCTCTGTGCTAAGTTTTACCATCAGGAAAATAAGAAATTTCATAGAGCTTTTATGAAATTGCAATTACTCACTATTTGGAGAGATTGCCAGCAGCAGGCTCTGTAGAATTGGGAAGGGATATTATGTTGCCTTTATTTCTGCAACTTCATTCAGTCTCAGATCATAACAGTTCATGAAATGGCCTTCCCTGTAAAACCAGAGTGTACTGTATTAGATTGAGTCTAAGATTACTGTGACCAAGACTTTTGCTTTGTCCACCTGTTCCACATGGCTACAACACCTTCAGGAAGGATTTTGTGAAGGCCCTATATGGGGGATGCTCTTTGCTTTGTAATTTTCAGCTGTATGCCACAGTGATGCTAGCTGGTCTGCTTAAAAGTTGGAAAAAAATCTCCAAGACTTGGTTTGTCACAGGTGAATGCTGAGAAGAAATGCATATTAGCCATTCGAACCATGTTATCTTGATAGCACAGGGTAGTTATGAAAGTAAGCGTTTATCCTTCTATCCAGTCACACAGAGGGGATTTTGTGACCCAGTGAGGAAGCCCCCAGATGCTTCATTTGATGCTGGCATAGAAGGTGTATCTGTACATATTTTTTGGGGGGTGAGAATGCAGGTAGCATGAAATACAGTTTTGCAGCATTCAAACAAAAGGCAGCTCAGTGCTTTGTGGTAGGTAAGCTACCAGCACCGTGTGAGTTGGAAGGACTCTTGTATAGACCAGCTTTCTGAGTTTGAACAAGGTGTATTTCTAAAGATGCAGATGAGTTCTGAGTGAGCAAGGGAGGGTAAAGATTCTCTTGCTGTCCTTATCCTTCAGGCACTTCCATGTGCAAGCGAAGTGCTGTAGCCTGCAATCAAGGCTCAGAATGGGGAAAGTGGTTTGCCCAGAAACATCTTGTATCCAGAATGTTACTGTGTGTTTTTTTTCAGCTTAAGAAGTAGCTTTTCTTTTCCTTCAAAACCAGAGCCTTTTGAGACTGTACTTCAAATACCATTGAATAATATATATATGGTATTAAAATCCCATTGTAACAGTGATTATAAATCTCACAAACAAATGTCAGCACTGCAATGATTTTATCCTGTTTTCTTGACCTAGAGCTTTGATATTACCAGTGTGATCAAGGAGGTCAATTTTATTGAAGTCTGTTTCTTATCAGCCATTTCCTATGCAGCAGAGCAGAATAGATGTCACAAAGGATACAGCATCCCCCCGGCGTGTCCTCCACCTGTGCAGAAAGGAGAGTGCCACGGTAATTTCATCAGAAAGGTAGGGGCAGAATTGTTTGTCTCTGGCTTCAGGCTTGGAAAGAGGAATGCACCACGTGCTGTCCTTACAGATGTATTCTGAAACCTGCAATGTCATTTTATAGGTGGGGAATTTTTCATTGCAGCTTCCTTCTCTTGTCCCTAGAAACCTGTAACCTGGCATAAGAAGGCCATGCTTTGTATCTGGATGATAAGAATGTTTAAAAGGCGGTTTTGTCAAGGAGTCAGAAAGGAGACTTGCTCCTATGGGAGAAGGATAGCACTGGGAAATGTGTAATCATTATATTTTGATCCACTGGGTGGGTTTAGCAACGTATGCTGACAATAGGATTCACTGTTACAAATACCAGTGTATATTGCCAAGGCTGTAAAAATCTCAGCAAAGCATTTTCGTGAGTGTTTGCTATTGCTCATGTACTCTGCTGTTTATACTGGTCAGCTCTGGCATGTCACAAGAAGTGTTACCTAACAGAAGACTTGTTCTCATAATAAGATGAAAACAGTGTTGAAAAATGTGACTTACAAGGAAGGACATTGTCAGTGAAAACAACAATGTAATATGTAAGCTCAGAAACTCTGATTTCAGACCTTGCTTCATTCCTGTTTAAACTTAATCACAGCAAACTATCACCTGAGTAGCATCTCATGTATTTCTGATAGCTTTGCAGCAGCTAGAGACAATAGCTTGGTGATCTTATTTTGGGATTTCTCTTTTTGGGTGTTTTTGCATGTTTGTTTCCATGTAAATGCCTTTCTTGTTAATTATTTTTGATCTTTTTAATTAAGTCCTTTTAAAGCCTCCTCAGAAAAATTACTAGAGTCCTGTTAACCTAAACCCAGATGAAACTTCCTTTAAAATTTGGTAAGGGAAAGAGGGACATCATATTGTCCTGGGAAAATCCTTCAGGATTAAGAGGCTGTCTTTATTACTTCTTGCTGCTGCTTTTATTTTCACTGTGTATTAAAAAGTTGATTAATTCTTCTGAGTCCATCGTGTTTCTTACAAATCAGTGCAGGGAGGAGCTTGGAAGGAAGAAGGCACTTAAATAGCTGTAGTCTTATTTATAGAGCAAAAATGGCCAGGAATGATTTTATGCTTTACTGAACTATACTTTCAAATTTGTAAGAAAGTATCCTAGCACTTTTCCTCAAAGGAGTTGTTTGGCTGTACTTGGAAGCCACTCCAGACATTTCCAGAAACATTTTTATGGAACATAATGCCAAGTATATGGCAACAACAACAGTGATGTCACATTTTAAAAGTAATTAAACATACTAGGAAATTGCTAAAGTAAGCTGGCTGCTTGCCATCTTAATGTAATGGAGAGCTGTTCACATGTTTGAGGTCCAGTATTAAGTGCAGTCAGTGTATCTAAATCTTAATAGGAATTGTGGCAAAACTCAAGCCTTTCACTGGTAATGTACTTCAATGGTACAAGCATATCATTCCTTCAACTACTATTTCTGATAGCAGTCTCTGCAATATTATTAGTGAAGCCTGACATTTATTTATTTTTTAGAAAGGGAAAATGACTTTCAATCTGACTTGTTTTCTAAGAATGTATTGTCCCTGTTTTTGCACTTGAGATAGGTACAGTGCTTGCTTCCTGGAAGGCTCTTTTGCAACTTGATAGGCAGGCAGGCTGGCTTCAGCAATGCAAGGGATAGGCCAGACTTGTGCAATGTGGTTTGCCAAAATTAGTATGCCTTGGCTGTAAGTTATTAGTCTCTAAATTTAGAACTGTAGGTCACTGTACAAGACTTTAAGGAAATCTATAGTATCTGCTTTGGGGGCTGGGGCTGTGTGAAGCTCAGAGGGCAGCTGAATAGACGTCTTCAAGGGATTTGTTAATTAGAGGTCTGACCAGGTTTGAAAACAGCTAAACAGAAAGCAGTGTAGATACTTCTGTGCCTGAGCAGCATTTTATAATTCTGACATTCTGATGTTAGAACCAGAACTAAGCTATTTCTCAACCATTTTTTTGTTCCCTTTGTTTTTATATAAAAGAACCATAAAAAGGGGAGAAACAGTGAACATGACTGAACTACACAAACGCGCCAGACATACACATTTCTTTCCTTGAACTAATCTGCAGTGTTACAACTAAAAATAGGAATTAAAGTATTTCACATGTACCCACAATTTTTAATTTAATATTGTTCTATTAGAATACTCTAACATTTATAACCATCAGTTTTCTGCTTACTTTGTCTTTTATGGATACGATTAAATACTGGCATTACAAATTAAGGTAGTTCAGAACTGAATGGAGAGTAACCTAGGGTTCGTTGTTCGTTTTTTGATCTTTACTGTTTTGGGAGTTTTTTGTAAGTGGTGAGCTAGGCGGTGTTTTGTTATCTCAGTAATACAAAATTTCATTATACATGGATGTTTAATGCAAATTTTTATGGTTAATATAGGTAGTAGCAGCAGAGTTTTGGTCAAGAAATGAAAAGATACTGCAGGCTTTCCTGGGTTTGTGGAAATTGAAAAAATTCTTTTAGTGCATAGCAGTATTTTCTTTCTAGATAGCAAATAATTTTTGTTGCTGGCACAGCACTGATGTCTGTGTGAAAAATAGGTAATTGTAACTGTATAATTCTGTATTTCAGGAGCAGTGTTCATTTAGTTGGGACTGGGGCCCTTCTTTTCCCACTCAAGGAATCTGGAAAGATGTTAGGATTGAGGCTTATAACCAATATCACCTGATTTACTTTTCTTTGACTTCTCTCTTTGGTAAGTCTACTTTGTTACTACTTTTTATTGTTTTCATCTTTGGAATAGGAACCACTTTATTGTTAAGCTCAGTTAACTGCAATCTGGGAAGCTTCTGTTGTTTTATCATGACTTTGCATGCAGTTCTTCCTATGGCACACCCTTTTAGGACCTGACACAGTACTTCAGTATAAGCAATAGTGATTAAAAATGTTAGAATTCAGAATCTTTTTATGCTTAAGGATCCCCGCATAACTGCAGAAATATATGTAATATAGCTGAGGCTAGCCCCTGTTCTCCTGTTTTGTAAATAATTTTTTTTGGCACGAGTTTTCACCAAGACTCTGAATAAATATGTCTCACATTTAAAACAAAGACAAAGCTGCTATGGGAATCTAGCTTTGTGTTGGGAAGCAAATGCACAGTGAACAGAGTTTCAAGAGCACGGAGTTTTCAGGACACAACATGAAGTCAGAGAGAAATGCAGTCGTGCTATACAAGGATAATTTGTTAAAGCTGCAATTTGAGAGGATGGTCTCCTGTGTTCCTGCTACCTAACTTACCGAACCGGTTTCCTCCCTTGATGTGCGTGGTCTTTGATTTTCACCTCCTTTGTCCTGGAGATTATTGCCGCTGAGTAAAAGTAGTTAATTTTCTGTTGAAACTTTTTGTAAGCAGTAATATGCCCCGTTGCAGACCACCCACATGCTTTCTTTCACTGCCTGTTGAGCCCAGTGGTCAGTGGAGTAAAGGCTAGCACATGAGTCTTCTGCAGTGGGTTGAATTTCAGCCCTTGGGAACAGAGTTGTTGTGTATGAATAAAAGAGGAAGACGTCACTCCTTGGCTACTTTAAAAGCTTCCTGAAATAGCTGCAGGTCTTAGCTAGAATTAACGTGACTGGAATTTCCACGGAAAGCCCCAGTACAGACTCTGTGTGCTCCCTAAAATTTAGTTACAGTGAAAACCTTACTGGTCCCTCCCACATTCCCACAACTCCACCTTCTGGTAGGTAAAATCTTACTATCTGAGTAAGCAGAGAGCAAACCTCTTCATTCAGCAGAGAGAGTGGTTTGGAACCAGAGCCAGAGCTTATTAGTATTCAAATATAGTAACATTTGAAAAGTAAAGAGTAAATGGATAACTTGAATTTAAGCTGCCTATGCAGTTATATTGCTCATCAGATTTGGTGTCATAGCCCTTCTACCACTGAGTCTATAAAAGATTAATTGTTCATGATTTCTCTGCCTAGACCCCACAGTTCATGTAGTTAAGAGTGGGCTGGAAATTTCTGTCTGCACTTGGAAGGGAGGGAAAACCCACTGTAATGGCTGACCTTTGTGGGGTGGATGTTTCTTTTTTAACCCCTTCAACATTTCAGAAAATTGGTCTTTCCTGGGTAATACTGGATGGAACATAAACTTGGGAACACGTTCACTGCTATTCATTCTATGAACAGTGAAAATCACACCAGAGCTGAATGTAGTTCTTTGCTTTTGGAGGGAGCTCTCTTTCTCTCCTAGATGACGAGGCCCTCAGTGACATGGTTTAATGGTGCCCTTGGCAGTGCTGGAGTAATGGTTGGACCTGATCTTAAAGGTCTTTTCCAATCTAGTTGATTCTATGATTCTATAAGAAGGAGAGCTAGAATATATACATGAAAAGAGAAAGTAAGTGATTAATACAAAATATGTCTTAGTTCTAGTTTTCCTTGTTTTCTGTTTGGTTTACTTTTGTTTAGATGTTAATCTGTAGTATTTGAAGTATGGGAGTAGCCAAGCTATGTACATAGTTAGGCAATTTAATTGCTGAATTTAATGGGAAATTTACACATTAATCTTGAGTACCCTTGACCCTGGCTTGCCTTATTCAGTAGGTTCTGTAAAGGAGACTACAGTCTAAGGTAACTATAGAGGGCTCTTGGGGAAGTCATTAACTTGTTTCCTCTACCACACTCCAGCGACAAAAGGAACATAAAGATATAGCCCATCAGGTCTAGACACAATGGGCCCAATTTATCCCCAGCATAACCCCATTCATTTTGTCTAGTGACTCTGGGATGAATTCAGCTCATTTTCTGTTAATACTGTTTTTGTTTCATTGACAAAAGTGATTGTGATTACGATCTTTCCCAAAGAGTACCATGTTCGTATGAGTGCTGACTGAAAGCAAATGTAATGTCTATGGGAGCTGGTGGGAAAAAACTCCTTCCTATTGAAGTGACTGGTGTCATGATCTCTGACTTGTACAAAACTCTGAAAAAGCCCCTGGATGGCTTTCAAATGAAAAGAGAGTTATGAAACATAAATCATAGTGTGTAGTTCTCTTCTAAGTTGGCAAATGCAAACACAGATATCAAATGCATTAAACAAAAATATTAACCTTGTGGGTCTGGTTCAAACACAGCCTGAAAATTATTAAATTTAATCTGAGGTGTTTGAATCGTTTCTTTGATGAGAGATCATCTTAACTAGTAGCAATATAAGCACAATTCCTCAATTCCCATTTTTTTTCTCCCCCGTCACTTAGTAAAGAGTACTCAGAAGTGGCGTCTTGAAATCGAGGCTATTTTTGATGTAGTCAGCTCCAAGCCAATTGTGGGTCTTGTAATTGTGAACATTCCCGAATTGCAAACACAGCAAACATTCAATGTGACGCTTCAACCTGGAGAAGGCAGCATTGTGCTGCTTGTAAACATCAACAAGGTAAGGAGGTGTATGTAGAAGGCTGTCCAACTGCAAAAAGTTTCCCCTGGTTTCTAATGTATTGTTCTGTCTCCATGCCAGTCAGGCCTCCCTTCCCTTCCTTACTGTGTTCCTGACATTAAAAACAGGTCTGTTTATCCCTTACAAGATAGAAGAACAGTTCTTTTCCTCTCTAAAAATTGGTGTTTGTGGGCTATGCAGCTTAGTGTCAAAAAGATAATGAAACCTTTTCCTTACTGCAAAACAAAAAGATCAGATCATCACCAGCCACTGTTAAATGAGCTGTTTAGGTAGATCACCTTTGGATACTCTGTGTCACTTCGCTTAACTGACAGCAGGTATCTTGTCTCCCATGCTATTGTTTACTGGGCTGATTGGGAGTAGAATATACTATGATATGCACGGTTCTCAAGAAGAAACATTCCTCAAACCTCTTAGTAGATAACTCTTTCAGGTAATTAAAATGAAAGAGGCCTATGAAGAACTTGTCTAGCAGTAAGGTTGGTGGAAATCTTTAGTAGTACTTCTTTACATTGAATTGTAGTCTCTTGGGTGGACAAAACTGAGGAGGAACTTTAGAGCAATAAAGGATGCTCTAATGAGGAGAGAACTCAATTGAAAAAAATGAATTTGGCATGCACCCTAGTGATGAAAGAGGAAAGAATTGATCTGCTTGCTTTCAGACGGTGTTGAGAAACTATCTCATGGCAGACCAACATGATTTAACTTCTACAGAATTTGTTTTGTTTGTGGGTTTGGGTTTGGTTGTTTGGAAACTTGTGTTCTATTAGATGTGATTAGGAAAAGATATATAGGCTTGAGAGATGAAGAAAATCAGCGTGTCTGTTCTAGCTGACAAATAGGTAGCTGTCTTGAGTTAGTCAGTGATCCCAGTGTGGCAAAAAGAAGTATGAATTTTTCTTGGCTTCTCGCTCAGAGAGCAGGGCCCTAGCAGAGCTGACTGTGCAGAACTGAACCTGACAGCAGCAGGCCCAGGCCATTGGGCAGGGTGGGAGCCCTGTCAGGCACAGTGACAGCAGGCACAAATGATGCTGGAGCCATCAGCATAATGGGAGTTGCCATCTGCTTCACTGCTACATGGCACAGTTAGATTTGTGGGTGAACGATGTGCTGTGAGCAGGAATCTGGGGCTTCTGACAATTCTGGCTGTTAAAAACTGAGGGTCTGCCCTCAAATCTTTGTATATTTTATTGACTATACTGATTTTCTCCACTGCTGTGTATCTCTGCATTTGTTTCCCCAGTTTGAATGCATTATGCATGTGTTCTCAAGTTCTCTTATCAGTTGAATGGAGAAAAAGCATGTGTTCAAGACAAGCAGGGTATTTATGTTTTAGTATGAACATTCAGTGACTTGCATACTTATGTGCTTTATTTTGACATGAAAGCATAAAAGCATACAAACATGATTTTTGTTACTGTTGTCATCTGATATGCAGTTTGCATGAGAAATTACAAATACCCAGTTTCATTTAAAACATCATTAGTCTCTGTTTAGCCTTTTCAGGGGTTACATTAAGCAGGCACTGCAATGTGAAACTTCAAAAAATATTTTGGTTTATTTATTTGTCCCATCCTCAACCTCAGAAGAAATCTGTCAGTGGAGTGTGACTGCAAGTTTGTGAGGAAGTACTTCCTTCAGAGCAGAAGCAACAGTGTGTTTTTATTCTTTCTACACAAAAGGCTTTGCTGCATGAATTCACATCAGCTGATTTTGCAAGAAGCTCTGCAGTGTGTTCTCATGATGAGAGAGATAGCCTAACAGAGCCCTTACTCTGTACAACTGACTTGTGTGGTGCTTATTAAATAATGAGATCTCACTAGAAATTTATTCCTTATTCTAGTTGCGATCTTATTGCAGATTATGTTGTGAAATCAGTAGGTGCTTGAGTGGTGTGTATCACCCGCAGTCTTCCTGCAGTTGCCACGCAAAGTGCTGTGTTGTCAACATGGCAGCGTTTTGCTTATAAGCTAATGGTGAGCGTGAGGATGACATCATTAGTGGCCAATGAGACACTCCAGCCATGCCAGGCAGCTGCAAACGCTCCCTTGCTGTCGAGGCACACGCTGATTTTGTGCTTCCATTTGTATCCATGCAACACAGAGATTAGTACTTTCGTACAAGTAGTTATGATAATTCTGCACTGGGGAAGCTGAAATGTTAGTAGATACATTCATGATTGTGTCCAAGTATGGCTACAGTGAAACTTATTGTTGGGCTGCTCTGTGGCCTCATTTTATTTGAAAAGATTGAGGCACTCCTCACATGGCTCTATTCAGTGCTGATCCCTCCATTGTTTGGTTGCATGCATTACTGCTTTCTTTCCACGATTTTTGGGTTGCGCATTCAGCTGCAAATGTTGGCAGTAGGACTGAGCAGCTGAACTAGGGGGCTGGGATGAAGATATAAATATTACTCTGTGCTAGAAAAATGAGAAAAATAATTCTGTCATCCTAGAGGTAGGGTTTTTTTATGTTTGTAAAAATTATTGAGTACTAATTATATGATTAAGAAGCATAGAGAAAAAATGAAAACACTGAAAATAATGACATTTGTCTTAAAAGCTTGATATAAGCAGTCAGCATGGTCACACATTAGCAAAGTCACAACTTAAAAGTGTCACCTCAGTATATTGAGTGTTGAAAAGATAAAAGGGGCTCCTCAATGAGAGGAGGGGTATGATACAGAGGCTAGTGAACGGTAACTGCTCCTGACACAGATATCGCTTTAAATAATTTTCACCTCAGAGCTGCAGCTGGAGAGATCATAGTTACCGTGGCTCAGCTGAGGCACAGAAAACTCATTACAGCTGTGGTTATTCAGTCACAGATATTTGAGCCCCTGGTGTATTTTCTGCTTCTTTTTATACATGTTGCTCTAATTTTCTCTCTTGTACGTTCAAGAGTTTTGCAGTGGAGGCTTGGTGGCCAAATGGACATGGGAAGCAAACTGGATACAACATGACAACAACTTTCATCATGGAGGCAGGATACCAGATTGAGAAATTTTCAAAGGTGAGCCCTTCAGCTTGATTACAGCTGGCACTGCACTGCTAGTGTTAGGACATCTGCTCTGCATGGCAGGTTTCTAGAGCTCTTGAATATTTTGCTGGGTTGTAATATGTGTGTGAAAACAGGAAGGTTTTTAATGTCACAACGTCTGTTTATGTGGTTTATGGTAGCTTTAGCTTATATAGCTGCCTTTCCTTACCTTTAGGCTGGAAGATGGCTTAGTTAGTTGGAAACTTCAGAAAGGAAATCTATGAAAAAAACCCCACTTTTGAACTTTATGTATTGTGCTGATGGTTTTGTATTGTACACTGAAAAACCTTTTTAGATGTCTATAGAATATGTAAAGGCTTATTACTCAGGGTTTTTTTTGTTAATTCAATTAAAAAAAATAACCCTCTGGGATAAACACATTACTAAAAAGCTAACATACTTTAATTTGTTAGAATGTGATAGATGTGCTTCAGGTTTAAGAAGAGGTAGCATCTTAAATATGACCATGAAAGTAATGTTGAGGGATATTTGCAAGAGGGTTCTTGCAACACACTGGCTGTATAATTATCTGATTCTTTTTGCTAAGAATCTAAAAGAGGTAATTCTCAGTTGTCCAATGAAAGAAAACCCCACCATACAAATTAGACTAGGCTACTTACGCCATCAGCATGTGTAAACAACCAAGTTTCCACATTTATTAGGTAGTTCATTACTAAATCATTACATTTATTAGTTGTGTATATTGCTACTGTTCACAAGCATCTAAACTACTATTTATTATAACATTTGTTCTTGTGAAAAATCTTATGAAAAGCAGTAGCTTCTGGAGGTTCTGGTCTTTATACGGCTATCCCTTATTTTGATTATGAAGTCATAATAATAATTCTTTGTTTTTATTAGCAATTTCATTTTGAAAAAATTATAAAACCCAAATAAACATTACATATTATGCTTGGAAAAACTGGTTGTAGGAAACATGGCTATAAAGCCTGTAAAAAGGAAAATTCTGTTATTACTGTGTGAAAATTGCATAATGATAGGTAAACTCATTGATTCCACTTGGGTATTTGTATTGTGATATTTCATAGAGCCATGTGGTATACAATCGTAGGGACTTCATGGTCTGCAAAATTTAGTCACAAGCTTCATTAGGGACTGTAGTGATAAGACAAGGGGTAATGGGTTCAAACTTAAACAGGGGAAGTTTAGATTGGATATAAGGAAGAAATTCTTTCCTGTTAGGGTGGTGAGGCACTGGAAAAGGTTGCCCAGGGAGGTTGTGAATGCTCCATCCCTGGCAGTGTTCAAGGCCAGGTTGGACGAGGCCTTGGGTGATATGGTTTAGAGCGAGGTGTCCCTGCCCATGGCAGGGGGGTTGAAACTTGATGATCTTAAGGTCCTTTTCAACCCTAACTGTTCTATGATTCTATGATTGTATGATTTTGTATTTCTCCTTAAGGAGAAAGAGGATTAAAAAAAAAAACAAATGTACCACATAGTGGGCATTATAAATTAATCATCGTATGAAGTTTCTATAGATTCATAGTGTAAAGTCTAGTCTTCCTTTATATGTTCTGTGAAGCTCTGTCTTGGTTTCTGACATACGTACACACCCCTACCACCACTGTCCCCTGCCCTGAGCTGTATGAGTGGAAAAAGGCAGTTTTTTCATGTTCTGGTGCAATTTCCTCTTACATCAGCAGGGAAGAATATCAGCATTCACATGGCTTAATAAGAACTTTGAGTAGCTCAGGAAGTAAAATAATGGATAAATGTTTTTGAAGCTATTGTTCTGTTGTCAGTTCTGTTGTTCACCTAGTACTGTTTTCAGGTGTAATACATTCCCCACCCTTCCTTTTAAAAAGAAAAAAAGTAGGGATGAGATATTCCACAGGTTGGTTGTCTCCATGTCAGTATCTGCCTAACTTTGGATAGGCAAAAACTAAAGGGCAAGAACTATGTATGTGAAAATACAGTTTGGGTTTATGTCAGATTTAGCTACCCTTAGCTTGAGCTACTCTCTGGTTACTGACATATTAAGAGTAGTCTCCAAAACATTAATTAATCCTTTGGGAAAATTTCTGGGTAGTCCCCCAGTATGTACTTGTGAGAGCTCTATAGAGCTCTAGCCAGCTGTGCTGGGAACCCCTTTGGCTGAGGGAAGTACCTACTCACTGAGAGTAGCAGAGAAATGAACCAGAATAAAGCCATCACCCAGGACAGGGTTGGTTTTGATTTTATTTTGCTTTCCTATTTGAATACTTTGGTTTAGAGTTTGTTTCTCAGGGTAATGTGAAACAAAAAGCCAGAAATCATCTCAGACTGAAATTTTCTTGAGGGAGGGCCTATCCAGCCCTGTTTGCTATTGATAAGTTGCTTTTCTCCTTGCCATGCCTACATCAAAGAATTTATTACCTTTTTCATTGCTTTATGAGGCATTTGTTTGCTTTTCAACTATCTTTCCCCATCTTTCTGTGTTTATTTCTTCAATGCTGTAATCAGAGGGTATTTTTATTTCATGAGGCTATTTTAATACTTGGAAGGCCTTAACCTCTAGCTGTCTTTCCTCTTTCCCTCTATACCTTCTTTTCCCCCCAAGCCTTTTAGCATGAGTTTGAGAAGTCTTTCGTTTTGGCTTTGTAGTTTTCATACTACTTTCATGCTGCTTGCTGATTTGTTAGGTCACCGGGGTGTTCTGTGATCTTATTTCAGCTCTAGGCATCTTCATCCCTATTACTTTTCCTGCTGCTAAATCCAGGAATGTCAGATGTGATCCACAGGTCATTTAGCTAGGTAAATTTAGCCTTTGTGTGTAATTTAAAAAGAGGTATCTGTTTCTTAATAGTACACAGAACTGGCTGATTGGTCTGTGATGAGTAGAGAGGCTCTTCTGTGTGCTCCAAGATTTGGAGAAACGTTCGATCCTCAGGCAGCAAGGTCTATCTGACAGATTTCAAGTTGTCCGAGGTCTCAGTAGCCAGAAAGGCATGTAACCAAGCATGCTAGATGCTAGTTGTCTCCCCTTGCCCTTGTTTCACCTCACAGGGTAGAAGGAAGCTGCTGTAGGAACACGAAGAGGTGCTCTGTTACGGAATGGGCCCCTGCAGAGTAAAGGAGTGGGAACGCAAAAGCACTAAACGCTGAGGGCCTGGGAATGTGAAATGGGGCTGAGGAGCTTTTCCTGCTCACCCAGGACCAGGGTGGTTCTGGGTAGGTGTTTCAGTCTCAGATTGCCTTGGATTTGGCCAGGTACATGAGCTCCACTGTAGCTTGAATAAAACAACATCACATTACTTCTACTAGTAACATTACAAATTACAAATTTTAATACAAATATTACTCTATTACAAATGCACTTTGAGACAGTCCAAACCTATGTGATGACATCCATTGACAGGACCTCCCAAATATTTTGGGAGCCCCAACTATATAGAATCATAGAATAATTAGGGTTGGAAAGGACCTTAAGATCATCAAGTTCCAACCCCCCCGCCATGGGCAGGGACACTTCACACTAAGCCATATCACCCAAGACTTCGTCCAACCTGATCTTGAGCACTGCCAGGGATGGAGCATTTACAACCTCCCTGGGCAACCTATTCCAGTGCCTCACCACCCTAACAGGAAAGAATTTCATCCTTATATCCAATCTAAACTTCCCCTGTTTAAGTTTTAACCCGTTACCCCTTGTCCTATCACTACAGTCCCTAATGAACAGTCCCTCCCCAGCATCCCTATAGGCCCCCTCCAGATACTGGAAGGCTGCTATGAGGTCTCCATGCAGCCTTCTCTTCTCCAGGCTGAAGAGCCCCAACTTTCTCAGCCTGTCTTCATACGGGAGGTGCTCCAGTCCCCTGATCATCCTCGTGGCCCTCCTCTGGACTTGTTCCAACAGATCCATGTACTTTTTATGTTGAGGACACCAGAACTGTACACAATACTCCAAGTGAGGTCTCATGAGAGCAGAGCAGAGGAGCAGGATCACCTCCTTTGACCTGCTGGTCGCGCTCCTTTTGATGCAGCCCAGGATACGGTTGGTTTTTTGGGCTGTGAATGCACACTGCCGGCTCATGTTCATTTTCTCATTGACCAGCACCCCCAAGTCCTTCTCCGCAGGGCTGCTCTGAATCTCTTCTCTGCGCAGCCTGTAGCTGTGTCTGGGATTGCTCTGACCCAGGTGTAGGACCTTGCACTTGTCATGGTTAAACTTCATGAGGTTGGCATCAGCCCACCTCACAAGCGTGTCAAGGTCCCTCTGGATGGCATTCCTTCCCTCCAACGTATCAACCGAACCACACAGCTTGGTGTCATCGGCAAACTTGCTGAGGGCACACTCAATCCCACTGTCCATGTCAGCGATGAAGATATTAAACAAGACCGGTCCCAACACCGACCCTGAGGGACACCACTCGTTACTGGTCTCCAGCTGGTCATTGAGCCATTGACCACAACTATTTGCATGCGGCCATCCAGCCAGTTCTTTATCCACCGAGTGCTCCATCCATCAAATTGATGTCTCTCCAATTTAGAGACAAGGATGTCGTGTGGGACAGTGTTGAACGCTTTACACAAGTCCAGGTAGATGACATCAACTGCTCTACCCTTGTCCATAAGTTCTGTAGCCCCATTATAGAAGCCACCAAATTGGTCAGGCAGGATTTCCCCTTACTGAAGCCATCCTGGCTGTCACCAAGCACCTTGTTTTTCATGTGCCTTAGCATGCCTTCCAGGAGAATCTGCTCCAAGATTTTGCCAGGCACAGAGGTGAGACTGACTGGTCTGTAATTCCCCGGGTCATCCATTTTCCCCTTCTTGAAAATGGGGGTTATATTTCCCTTTTTCCAGCTGTCGGGAACTTCACCTGACTGCCATGATTTCTCAAATATGATGGCCAGTGGCTTAGCAACTTCATTCGCCAGCTCCTTCAGGACCCGTGGATGGATTTCATCAGGTCCCATGGACTTGCGGATGTTCAGATTTTTAAGATGGTCTCGAACCAGTTCCTCTCTTACAGTGGGCCCAAGGCCTTCATTCTCACAGTGCCTGCATCTGCCTTCCAAGACTTGGGTGGTGCGGTCAGAGACTCTGCCAGTGAAGACCGAGGCAAAGAAGTCATCCAGAACCTCAGCCTTCTCCAAATCCTGGGTAGCTAGTTCACCCGAGAGCTTCCTGAGGGGGCCTACGTTCTCCCTAGTGTGTTTTTTATTTGCTATGTACCTGTAGAATCCCTTCCTGTTATCCTTAATATCCCTAGCCAAGTTTAATTCTAACTGGGCCTTAGCTTTCCTAACCTGGTCCCTAGCTTCCTGGACAACATCCCTGTACTCTTCCCAGGCCACCTGTCCTTGCTTCCACTTTTTATAAGCCTCTTTTTTCATTTGAATTTTCCTCAGCAGCTCCTTATCCATCCAAGGAGGTCTCCTGGCCCTCCTGCTGCACTTCCTTCTAGTTGGGATGCAACACTCCTGAGCTTGTAGCAGGTGATCCTTGAATATCAACCAAGAGTCTTGAACCCCCTTGCCCTCTAGGGCTATGTCATATATATAGCACATTCCATTTTGTTCCACGAAAAAGAGCTATGCTGGAGACTTTGTTGTTTTTCTGTAGCTGGGAATTTCTTTATTAGTATGGATAATGAGGCCCACTTGCGATTAATCCACTGTTACCCTGGGGCAACATTGTAAAACACTGCAGGACTTGGGGCAAGTCCCATCTATTTGTTCATTCAGTTTCAATTTTTGGTCATTGCCATGATGCAGAGGAGTTTAGTCAGTGATGTGCAGCCTCCACTCATACATCTGGTTTGTCATGTGCATTGTCTCTGTCCAGGTGTTAATAATAGTTAATAATTGTCCAGCTGACTAAGAAGCACCAAAGAGGAAGCAGAAAACCCAGTAATTTTCTTGTCTTCTCTGCCACTAGAAATAATTTTCTGTATGATTTTTCATAAACCAGGAGTTTAAAAAACACAATCCCACAGTGGGATTAATTTCTCATTTGAACTTCAGCTTTGTCTAGTGTGTGAAGTAAAGAATTACATTTTATCTAAAGGACAGGTATATCACTTGCACTTAACTAGGTTAATTTTAGCCTCGTTTACTGACAGATGTCTCAACTGTAGCTCATGGCAGAACAGGCTGTACTGTACAAGCTGACCTTTTGAAAAGGTATAGCAAATACAGTCATCTGAGGAAGGATTGGTTGCTATCTTAAGGGTAGTCTAGAAACAAAGAGATTCCTGCTCTCCTGACCCAAATTTGTTGCTTGGTGTAAGGTGGCTGAAATGTGCTATTAGTGTTCCTTCATTTTATTTATTTTCCTAATTATCTCCCTTTGACGATGAGCAACAGGTACCAGAAAGAAAAGGTTTTTTCCTCTCTGGCATAGTAAGTTGAACTGGTACAAGAATGCAGGAGAAAATGAAGTCTAGATTCTCCCTGAAAGAAGTTTTCTGTAACACTTTGCAGCTGTGCAGGAGCCTAACATGGCAGCGGTTCCGCATCTGCCCAGTGGCAGGGGGAGAAGACACTACTACAGATACAGGGTCAGTGCAAAGTATTACTGCACTCAACTAACTTCTTTCTCATGCCTGTAGAACTGACTGTGTTTATGTCACTGCAATCAGAATACCCCTGTTGCATTGTTGCTTTGACTGACACTCCTCAAAAATGTCCAGAATGATTTCTTGAGAACTTTTCTTCCACCTGCAGCAGGAAGGAGGAATGTTTTCTTATTTCAGTGTCTGCTGTACACAATGCTGATATGAGGCTGAAAGAGAAGCTGTAAAAGTTTGCCTTCTGTTTGAGATGTGCTTTTATCTGGAATGACCTTTAATACCTTACACAGGGTTAGTTGGTATTTAGCTGAAACCTACTGCTGATCAAGCTGTGCAAACACAGCTGTGATGGCAGAAGGGCCCTTCACTTCCAAACCAGCATTTGTGTTTGCACACAGATCTTTCTCTCTATACTTGCTATGCCCATTCAAAAGGTACCATTTCAGGGTAGCAAAAGAAGATTGTGATTTTACTGGATGAACCTGAAGCTAGGCATTTGTGGACAAGACTTAGAGTTGAGCTGCTACAGTCTCCTTCTTTGAGGAGACAATTGTAGATCAAATTATGTGTCTGATCTAATGCAACCACTGTATTTCTCTCACTGGTCCTCAGCTAGACTCTTGACTGAGTTCTGGAGCAAGCAAGCACATACCTGTCTCTTACATATATACGTGGATGCACATGCACAGTCATTTGTACATACTTTCTCTCTCAATATGATAGTAACTTTAAGAAGTGAAGAGGTTTATCAGAAGCATGCTTTTTAGCCCTCTTACAGTGTTTTTTCATTAAGGTGGAATTTAGAGATGTGACCATATCTTTTGACTCCTTGACAAGCTATTCTAAGCTATTAGTGTTTAGTTGAGTCCCTTTTGTAATGGTTTTCTTTATTTTGTTTTCATGTATTTTTGTCCACTTTAAGTTTCATGTCTTTACAGGCCTATTTTCGAACAGTAGAACTTGTTCAGGAGCCTATTCATGGCTCACCAGGTCTGAGTTTCTACTTCAGAATCAATGACCGACCCATTTTCATTAAGGGCTCGAACTGGATTCCAGCAGATTCTTTCCAGGACAGAGTGACCTATGACACGTAAGTCACATTTTATGTTCTCTAAGGAGAAAGCATCGTGTTTTCTTCCTTCTGGTTCTCCTTCTGCCCTCTATCAAAGTGTGGCATTAGCAGGTGGAACTCCTTTCAAGGTAGAACACTAACTGTTGTGAATTAGAGGCCTAAGAATTGGGGCTTAGTTAACATTAATAGATTTGAGTGATGTTCAAGGCATATAAGTGCAATAACTGATGGGAAGGTGGTTGTTTGCCGTCCATAGGTTACTGGCCTTTCAGGTATTTTTAGGGATGATCCTCAGGCTGTCTGATCCCCTTGCCTACAACATGTTCATTGGTACTCGGAGAAGTGCATTTCAGCCATGTCCTAATTCATCTCATGCAGGGAGACATAACTGCATAACTCACTTTTTTTTCCCGCTTTGGTCCAGGCTTCTTGGATTTCAATGACACAGCACCCTGTAGTTACAGGTGGGATGGGTGCCATGCTGTACTTTGACTAGGTTTTGCTGCAGGTAGTTGAGGAACCAGGACAACAGGGCATGCTCCAGTGTGCATTCACATGCAATTCAGAGGCTACCAGCATGATTAAAAAAAAATAAATAATGGAGCCTGAATCCCTTAAAATGAGATTTAGTGTCTCAGTACTTCTCCTCCCCCTCTCACTTCCCCCTTTTCTCTATGCATTGCACTGTAGAACTGAGGAAGACAATATAGATTTCTGAATGTGTTTAAAAGAGAATTTGAATTCAAGTGATTGATATTTAAAGCAAAGAATATCTAAGGAGAAAAGAACCACCTGATTAATAGAATATAGTATTTCCAAATCTGGTCCTGCCAGTGCTTCTGTAAAAGCACTTGCATGCGTCACTCCATCTATTTTGTAAGTGTTAACAGGACCAAGTAACTTTTTCTGCACAAAGAATTACTTTTTGAAAGCTCTGTTCAGATATGCAGGCTTAGAAGGGATCAGAATAGTCTGGTTTCTATCAAAGATGTGTTAGGTAGTCTGCTAATGATGAATGTTCGGGGTTGGGTTTTCTTGTTGCTTTGGGAGGGGGGATTGTTGTGTTTGTGTGTGTGTATGATCTTAGAAACTCTTAAATGATACTGTTTCACAAAACTTGTAGAAATCTTGGGTTTTTTGTGTTTGACAGATTACGACTACTCTTGAAGTCTGCAGCAGATGCTAACATGAATGCACTTCGAGTATGGGGAGGAGGTGTATATGAACAAGATGAATTTTACAATATTTGTGATGAAATAGGAATAATGGTAAAAACAACAAGCACAGAACACTTATTTAAAAACTGACAAGAACTTGTAAAATACAACTCCACTCTAAATGAACAAAATAAGAGAACTAATACAAAAGTCCTAGACATATTTCTAAAAGTCATGGTAGATACCAACCTGAGAAGTCAGATTCAACCTGACTTTTTAAAGATTTCTTTTGAATTTGAGTGTTTCCTGATTTACTGAGGCTGTCTGTTGAAACTGGAAGTGATATTCTGAAGACTTTATATTAGAAACCCAGATTGTATTTCTTCTTGTAGCTATAAAGCTACAAATCTGTTGCTCACTCATCCCTAGTTCCCAGAATCTCCCTTTCATCTCCACTTCTTTTTCTCTACACTGTCTTCACCCCCTCTGTCTCTTTACATTTCCCCAACGGGACCATGTCTTTCTGTCTTCTAGCTTTTTTTCAGCCCAAAACTCTCATCTTTATGTACTGTACCTCTCTCCCAGTTCTACAGTTCCTACTGTCTTGGGAAAGAAGAAGAGAAGAAATGAATGGCTGAGGGACTGGTAGTAGTGATGCCATTCAGTGCAGGAAGTTGTTTACACTGTAATGATGAACATAATAGAAAAACTTTTGTGGGCTGTAGGCATCAACAGGGACTTGCAACACTCAAGTAGCTGTGAAACACATAGTGCATGGGAGGGGGGTTATTCATGAGATAAATGACATTTTTCTCACAGCAACCAGAGTGTGGGACCCTGTAGCTGTGTTTAGGGCTTACTCGTGAGAATAGCCCTGCTGAAGAACCTGAGTGTTTGAGGATATGCCCCAGATTGAGAGCAAAGGGCTTGCAATCTGACCTCAATGAAGATTTAAAGTCTGCTGTATTTGAGTTTTGTGCTTTCAGCCACCTTGGAGTTATTAAAATACCAGAGAAAGTAGTCATGCTTTTCTCTGCTGTGGGAATGGATTTTATTTCTTTTAGAAGTATTTTCTCCTTTATAGCAATAGCTGAAAAGTTTTGAGGTTTCTTGGTTCTAACTGTCAGCACAAAAAATATTTCACTTGGTCTGAAGCCAAGCATGGAAGGCCTTATCCAAAGGGCCATTTTGGACAAGCTGTAATTGAGTATAAATGTGGCTCTAAGGGGAACACCTGCTGCAAACACTGATAACCATAGATGAGTTCCTTCGATTATGTGAGCTTGGAGGCACATATTAATAAGTTTTGATAAAATAGTCACTGGATGAGTGAAGGCCAACTTGAATCTCATATTAAAATCCAAAGAAGTGTGTTTGGTTTTACTCTGCAGCATAAAAAGCAGGGAGGCAGAACCGATACCTTGCTGTCTTCTGTTGTGTGTGCCTGAAAAAAATAAAATGTTACATCTATTTTAGTCATCTGAATGACTGCCCTGATTTTCAGGGCTTCTGAGCACTTAGTGCTTTCATTTTTGACACTAGGCACCTAAGCAGGCCACTTAGATCTGTGCCTATACAGTGTTCAATACAAGATTTAGATCTTATTTAGCAGCCAAAATAGTAGGTAGATGCAGAAAGTCAGACCCATATTCTGGAGGGGGTGATGCTGGAGGCTTTTGGTTTAGTTTCTTCTGATGTTCTTGCAAAGGCTTAAAAGTGCATGGAGTCAAACTGTGCTTAAGGAAAAAGAGTGATAGATCACTGAGGGGAAACAGAGAAAGTTTCTTTCAGTAGAGAGTTTTGACTCAACATAGTCACTGAAACATTCTAAGTGGTTCTTCAGCAGCAGCTTTGCCTCTTCTGTACAGTGCTAGGAAGCTAGGAGTGGAACAATTACTAATGGATCTATTATCTCCTACTTTCCTGTTCTGTATCCTCAGCTTTCCTGGGGAACATGCACTGAAAAGAGTCAAGGACAGTCTGACTGTCTCTATTGTTTACATAGTACAGTGTTTAGAAAAAATTAGTCTCCTTTGCTTTAATGTGCTCCTTCAAGAGATCTTTCCATTACTATTTCATTACCATAGATCAGCAGAAGTCTCAAAGTTACAGCAGTTTAAAAAATAGAACAGGTTAACAAGAAATCTTACCCATTTCATTGGGCTTCTTCCTTTTTCCTTTTTTATAATTCTTTTCCTTCAAGGTACAAATGGAGTTCCGTGTTGAATTGAAGGGCTGGCTGTTCTCTAGCGGTATCTACTTCATCTTTCCTTGAAGAGAAAAATCACTGTGTTGTTAGAGGATGTAGTTTGTTTCTGTCCCTCTTACTGGGTAATATTTGCTCTTTTTAAGATCAGTTTGTGCATTTGGCATGGAAGTGTTTTTTTAAGAAATACACTTGAACGTCTGGTAAGTGTGCTCGATACCATGTCAGAAGAATTACTGTTTATTTTTAATAAGTAGTGTGGATTTGGTGCTACACCTCCAAAGTACTAAATACAGAACTGTTCTGTTCAGCTCAAAATTACCCCATGTTCACATCTGAGCAGTGCATGGGTTCTGATTATTCCATTAACACCTGCTGAACTCCATCTACTGAGCAATGTTCCACTCACCAGTGAAAGTTGCCAGGACCTGATTCCTAAGGGTAAATACTTTGTAACTCTGATACTGAGGAAAGCTATAGTGGAGTATGCACGTTCTGAAGGCCATGGAGGATGTGATTGTTTTGGTGGTACTTTCCAAGAATAATAAATAGAACATTTCAGTTTAATTCTTTTTTAAGATAAATAATTTCTGTTGAACAAAGGATTGTGCATGCAATTAACCTTATATTTTTAAAGTACGTAAAATGATGTGCTTTTTTTTTTTTTTTCCCGTAGATTTGGCAGGATTTTATGTTTGCATGTGCACTATATCCAACTGACCAGAATTATTTAGAATCTGTAGGAGCAGAAGTTACTCATCAGGTATTGTGTCCATGTGTTGAAGCTCTATTTCCAATTATCTATTTGTGATTGACTCTATAAGTTAGCTTTCAAAAAAAAAAAAGCTTATTAGAAAGTGTTTATTAATGTACCTTTATGTAGCAGACACTGTAACCTTGCTAAATCCTTTTTAACTTACTTGCAGGAATAGTCGGTCAAGCACAGGTACAGGCTTTCCTCATGTCCGAACTGTCCTCTTTCAAGGCTGTTTAAGAGCATTTAAGGTTTGCAACATACTTTAGCACAGAATTTACCCTTCCATGTATTTCAGTAGGTGCAGATGGAGGTACATATGTGCATGTGGTGGATATATGTCAGTATATTAGAAGTTTGCCCTTTTGTAAGTGTGTATTACAAAAGTTTGAGCCTGGTGGAGAGCTGAGGGAACAGTGAACAGTGAGTGATAACAGAGTGAACAGTGCAGATAAACCAGGAACTGTAGCCTAAGCATATATAATATGCATATGGACTTGTAATTCAAGTAGTAATAAAGTGATGTTTTATTATTTTTAAGATAAGTAATTTTGCTGGACTTCTGACATTGTAAGTTGTATTTCAGGTAAGGCGTTTAAAATCCCATCCATCAATTATTCTGTGGAGTGGTAACAATGAAAATGAAGCAGCAATTGCAAACAACTGGTTCTCCATACCTTATGCTGACAGAGAAGTCTATATCAAAGATTACGTTATGCTTTATGTGAAGAACATCCGAGAAATAGTTCTTGCTGTAAGTGATGTCAAGAAAATGTAGGGGGATATGGCTTGATAGAAGGTCATAATGTTTGCAGATTGAGCAACTTGGGATTTCTTTTTTAATTCTTTTGGGAAATGAAAGTATTAGTTACATCTTTAACACTTTGTGATAGGCAAATGGATTCTGCTTCTTTTTTTCCTTCCTATTTTATTACCTCCACAAATGCCTTCACTTTCAGTGGACAAAAATCAACTTGCCCATAAATTAATTAATCTAGATGATCAGATTATCCTGATGTTTTCCTTTATGTGTCTATGTAGAGTAGAATTGATTTAGAAGTCCCAAATTGTATATAATTTTCTGTTAACCTAAAAATGCTACTGGCCTTTTCCTACTCAGTTATCCTGTATATAGTATGATCTTACTGACTTCAGGGTGTGATAATTTTAGTCTAATCTGTACTTTTCAGGATGAGATACATTTCATGTTATAAGGTTTATGACCTGAAGTTTCTCCTTGGCAAAGACAGGTGCTCAGTACATAGGTGACAGCAATATTATTGCTTGTTATTGGAAGCTGCTGGTATTGTCAAAATAGTTGTACTCTGAAAATATAGAATACCTTTTTACTGGAAAACCTGAGATATAAGGAAACAGTAAAATGAGGCCAGATTTGAAAGAACTTGCTGAAAAGGATCACACTCTTAAGGGCATTTATGCATTCTAAATAGTGTCTTATATTCCTGTATTTCTGTGAAATGCAGATTTCTGTATTTCAGTTAGTTTTTTTGAGACTGAGTTGTTAGTAAAGGTATGCTGTGGCGTTTCAGTTATTAGCTACATGAGTTGGATGGCCAGTGCATGTGCAGCAGTGTTCTGGCTTGGTACTGTGTTTTAGTTACAGATCACTTGCGTAGCAGAGTGTTCTGGCTTGATACTGTGTTTTAGCTACAGATCACTTGTGCAGCGTCACTGTCCAAGACAGACCCTCTTTTATTTTAAACCCATAGTATAACTATTTTGAGTGCCAGAAGGAACCATACAGTAAAATAATTTCAGGTCCTGGTAATACAAGCCAGCTGAGGAAACCTGTAACTACTACTAGCAGTACTGGACTGTAAAACTCAAAAAGAACTTCCAAGTTTGAGCTGAAGACTTCAAGGAACCCAGGATATCCTGTAGTAAATTGTTTCAGTTAATGAATTTTACTCATGTAAAAAAAAAAAAAAAATAAAGAGGGGGGAGCTGCACTATTCCTTAAAGGAAAGCACGTGTCTAAGTGCTTTGCTGTATTGGAGCCAATTGTAACTTGTGGTTGGTAACTAACTTGGGCTTCTATCTTACTACAAGTACGGTGGTAAATTAATTATACCTGCAAAAGGATTCCTTCAGTACTTTGTAGGGTACTGCTAAAGATTTAGTATACTAAATCTACCGAGGCTATAAATAAAGGCAGCTCTGAACAGTTTGAAATGTTGCCCTTTTTATAGTCTCATCTGTCTTAACATGCAGAGCCAGCCAAAGTGACAATAACATGTAATACTACCATGCAAGCATTAGTAGCAGAATACCTTGGCTTTGTTAGGACTAAATTTAGGTGACTACTTAATAAGAAGGAACAATCATGGCCTTTGTTCCTGCAAAAACACTGAAAAAGTAATGATTTTCCATTAAAAATATAGTCACAGTACTCAAATATTAATGTTCTTTGAGTTTATTTTTCACAAGGCATACTTTAAATAGCTTTCATTAAGAATTTAGGAGAATGTAAAGATAGAAAATCTCTTGATGTGTGGAGAGAGAATCCCTTCGAACAGCAGAGCAAGCAGTATCATGCCCAGCTGTCCTCCAAAAACATAAGAAGCTAATTAAGTAAGTACAGATGATGAATGTCAGGACACAAATGGGAATGTTTCCTAGGTGTTGACTCAAATTTGGAAAACACATGTTCTTCTTGCTGCCCTGCCTTTTCAAAATGTGGTCTGCATGTTCTGACGGTAAAAGCCAATCACTTTGTGATGGGGTTGTCATTTTTGTTTTTAAATCCCAGGAAGATGAGAGTCGTCCTTTTGTTGCATCCAGTCCCACCAATGGCATAGAGTCAGTTAAAGAAGGTTGGGTCTCTCAGAATCCTTATGATACACATTATGGTGACACTCACTTTTATGACTACAGCATTGACTGCTGGAACTGGGCAGCATATCCTAAAACTCGTTTTGCTTCAGAATATGGATTTCAATCATGGCCTTCCTTCAGTACAATCAAAAAGGTAAGGCTGGCCTTCCACACCTTACTGTCCCCTCTGCTCTCATTTAGTGAGGGCAGTGAGCCTCTTCCCAACAAACTACAGCATCTGAACTGTAGTTAGGGTAATACACAAAGCAGAAAGAACAGAAAGAAATATGAAAAATGCTTAATCATGCTGAATTTTAAAATTTATTTATTTTTTTAACTTTTCCCAGTTTCTTTTACTTAAATAACTTGGAACTTTTATGTATTGCATATAAGAGAATTTGGTTTTGTCTCCTGTTACATTTAGATGTTGTATATTCTATCTTTTTTATGCAGTTGGAACAGACACATATGCTGTTTGTCCATTTGTTCCGAGAGAGGTGAATATCATGTTGATACTCACACGTGCAATTGAAAGAAGTTCAAAGTGTACCTTTCAATTTGCAGGGCAAAGTTTGTTATCCAAGGTATCAGTAAATTCTTTGATATTAATAGCAATGAAAAAAAATCAATCCAGCCTAAAAAGGAAAAAAATGTAAATAAAAAGACTTTATAGAGATTGTAATTACAATGCAAGCTGTCAATAACTATGAGCTATACTGCAGTGTTGTCATTAGTTGAAAAAACCTGTTTCATGATTATGTGTTCTCAGAGGTAGGTTTTGAAAATACGCACATCATTAAACTTTATAGCCCTACTAACTTCTGTAACTTTTTTTTTTGCCAAAATGTGTTTGACTAGAGTTCTTTCTTCCATCTTAATTTAGGGTGTTCCTGATTTACAATGAATGCAAGGAAACCTCTGAGGTACCTTGGCCAAACTAAACTTTAGGAAGAATATGCCATTCTCTCTAATGGCATATGTTGAACCAAAATATCACTATATCACTCTTCTGGGTTCAACAGCAATGTCTGCTTTCATTTATTTCTACAAGGAGTATAAGAAAAGGGTGTTATTCAAAATCCTTGCATGACTGCACAAAGCACTATAGAAATATACTACTCTTTTTAAAGGTTTTTGACAGTGTCAATGGGCTGAATTCCTGTCATGAATATCCTTTCCTGAATATCCTATCAGCCATTAAATACACATTTTGCATTTTCATTCTGATCTCCTGCTTTTGTGGGTTTTAAAAGGTTTCCTCTGCTGAGGACTGGTCTTATACAAGCAATTTTTCTCTCCATCGACAACACCATGAAAATGGCAATGATCAGATGCTTCAACAGATTGGGTATCATTTCAAGCTTCCCCAGAGCACAGATCCCATAAAGAGGTTCAAAGATACAATTTACCTCACTCAGGTAACACTGATGTCTTTAGTATAATACTTGTCAATACTTGTTCTAATAGATACTATCAGCTTAATCTGGGCCTATTATTTTAGGTAATGTTCAGTCATGCAGAAAGTTTCTGCACTGAAGCGTTGAAGAATCCAGTTTAATTTGGAACTAGCTTGTGTCTAGTTTGTTGGAATGCTTCTTGGGAAATTTCCCAGAAACTGGCCCAATTGGGAGATAGCCTGGCTGTGTGTGCTACCTTGGTCCCTGTCCCCTTGTCATGGCCCACTCATGAAACTGGCTTGGGGATGCAGGGATGTGCTGCCTTTCTTGGTATGCAATTATTCCTAGCTCTACACTTTTACTTCACATTCCAGGGTGGGTATGTTTTCCTCTTCATGTGGCCCCTATAGGCTTACTTGCCACAAGGAATACATGAGCTTTTGAAACAAGGCTATTTCTAGAGAATGCATTTCTCTATAAATGAGATTATTAGTAGCTTTTATTTGTTACAGACTCATTGATATTTTAGAGATTCTATTTTGTTAGGGAGTTTTTTCAAATCAGTAGGTTATATTTTGCTCTTCATCTGTAGTAGTTTACTTCATGCTTGTTTCTTCACGATTTCTATGTGACTTTTAAATGATGTTAAGTGACTTTTAAATGATGTTAGGCAAGTTTAAAGTGCTGTTACTTTTTGTCATGTTCCAAGAATTTAAGAAATCCTCTTGATCAGAATAACTGCACATTCACTAAGTTTTTAATGTTTGAGAGCTGCTGTCAGCAAGTTTTGTATAAAGCTGAAACAGCTGGAAAACTTTAGGCGCTGATGACGAGAAAAAGGCTAGATGATGCTGTGAAATTGAAAAAGGGAGTAAAACTTGCTCAGTGAGATTCTGACTCAGAAAACTGTGAGAATTTCTGCAGGGTTAAGTCTGTGAGGGCCTTATTAGCAGGTTAAAAAAATTAAGAATACCAAAGTAAGGACAGCAAAAAGGATAAGAAGATTAAAGTTGGCTCTAGTGGTTAAGTAGAAATGTTATCTTTACCTTTTGAGCTCTCTTAGAGACCTTTTCCTCTATTTTGAGACTTTCTTTTAATACTTCCCCAGCCTAGTAATATGCTTTGTGAAGAAAATAACAAGCAGTTTGGCTTCTATTGAGAACTTGGCCAATTAAAAATTCTGAAAAAAGTTTTTTAAAGAAAAGGTGGGGAAAGAGAGAAGTGGGAGTGCAAGTGAAAAAAGGTTGCTCTTTAGCACAATTTTGACTATATACTGGGAATGTATGTTATGTGTTCTGAACATAGGGATTTGGACATCATGGTAACATATACTGGAGGTAATGCAGCATTGCATCATTTTACAACTCGGGTGTTTTACTTACATTAGTTAAAAAAAAAATTAAATTTATTTATCTTTCCCTTGTCTTCCATTTGCTTTTCAAAGTGACCAGTGACCTTTACTGGATGGAAGGCAGGACGTAGCCCCTCCAGAGTTTATCTAAAAATACTGCTTGTAAAGCTGTGAGGAGCTGCTAGGGAAAGATCTTCTTCAAACAGATTCCCACAGCACTGCAGGTGTATACTGTTGAACGTTCAAGTTACATGCTGTTGCCGTGAAGTTTGTGTTATATGTTAATATGTACACACATGCTTTGAAAATAAAGTAAATTACAAAATGCAATACTCAAAAAAAAAAAGTAATTTTTTATGTGTTTGTTGATCAAGGTGATGCAGGCTCAGTGTGTAAAGACAGAGACTGAATTCTATCGTTTTAGTCAAAGTGAAATAATCAAGGGAGAAGGACACACAATGGGAGCTCTGTACTGGCAACTCAATGACATTTGGCAGGCACCTTCATGGGCTTCTTTGGGTAAGTATTGTGACAGTCTGGTAAAAATCATAAGCTATCAGGCTTGTTTTATTTCCCTCATCTGGAAGTATCAGCATATGAAGTATGGCTCCGCTGTCTCTCTCAGGCAACTTTGAACACGTTTCTGTCAATCCTTTACAAATGCTTGCCAGAAGGGTATTTTTCACAATCATCCTAATAGTCTGTGAAAATGGAAGAGGGTAAAGAACAAAGCAGTTCTTTTTCCATGGAAGTTTTACTGTTTAAGTTCAGATTCAGCAGCCATGAGCTCTTACCATTGTTTTAGCAAGGTTTAGTTTAGAAAAGAGAAAATCATATGTAACCCCTAATTTCTTAAAAACTCATTTTGTTTAAACAGTATTCTCATTTTTCCCAAGGATGTAATATCATCGAAGTCAGACAGAGCTGCCTATTAGGAATCAGTAATGGTTAACACTGAAGGCACAACCCCCTTGTGAGGTAAACTTTCAACTACCCTTGCTTTTCTTGTGTAGAGCTGGATCTTCCTGAAACTGTATGATATATCATACAGGTTTTTTCCAGAGAAATACTGCTTTTTTCATGTTGTTTTTTTGTTGTTTTTTTTTTTTTTTTTTAATTAGAAAGGTCAATTCTTTTAAATTTGAGACTTCTAAGAAATTCTGTTTCCAAAAGAGCCTGTCGTAGAAATTTGCCATTATATTTACTGGCTTAGGTGTATGGATGCATGTATGTACCCACCACCCTGGGTGGAGAATGGACAGAGAGGGAGCTAGTAGGGTATGAGGGTAAGAATGAGCACCCAGGTGTAATGATATTTTCCATAATTCCAACAAATTTGGTTGATTTTGTTCCCCCCTGCCCCCCATTGTAAAATGATCAAAACCTCTCCTTCAGTAGGTAGTAGTGCACTGTCAAAACTGACACTGTCTGAGCAGGATGGGATTTAGTATGTAAAGGCTGGGTATTTAGATTTCTTCTGTAGTCTGTTGGTTGTCTCCAGAGTGTGATTTATTATGTCCTTAGCTGTTTAATAGGTGGGATGAATTATCTTCTCCATGCTGAATTTGATCTTCATAGAACCTTTAATGACACCTTTCACCCAGTATAGCTTCTGAAAAGCTCTTTATAGGAGAATATGACTAGCTGAGATGTGGTGTGTAACTTTGTGTCAGGTGAGGTGAATCACCCAATGACTAAATTATTCTTTGAATATGCTATTTATGCACATTATATCATCTTATATATGTTGGTTTTTTCCTTTTAGAACACAAAATAGAGTAATCAAGCATATAAAGAGATAAATCACTTAGTAAGAAATAGGGGAGGAATGTGTGGTATGAGGGAAGTGGCTGTGTTTCATGTTCTGAATATTTTATCTAGAAGTCATTTTGAAATAGAGAAGCTGTTTATGGCAGCTGTATAGATCTTGGGTAGATTCTCTTTCAATTTTAGTTATTTCTCACATATTCTGTTTTTGAAAGTCTTTAAGAATTTAATGTGTGAAGTAATATAGGTGAACTAGAAAAAGCTAAGATCGAGTGTGAAGTTCTTGATCTGTCCTTAGAACAAAATGCCATTTGGCCTTTCTTTAAATAAAAAATAAGCCCACTCTATCCTCCCCCTCTTTCTCCAAGAGGTTTGTCCCTTTCCCTTTTTCTTTTTTTTTTTTTTTTTTCAATCCCCCTCTCCCCTTACTCATCCACACAAAGTAACTGCAACCAATAAAGAAAAACAAACCAGCAGAAGAAACAGGCTATTTTATTTAAATGTTAGCGCAGTGGTCCAGCTATAATGCTCATCTTCCTGGACTTTCTAGACTTGTATCAGGAAATGGAATATCCCAATCTTCATTGTTATGATTCTAGCAATGGCTGATGCTCTTAGGCATTAAGTGCCTCAAGAGAAAAGAACGCTTGGAAGAGCGTCTCTTTGTAAAGACAGGTGTATATTGATAGATGAAGTGATCGTGGAGACCATACATGTCTTTTTAAGTATAGGGCTGACATCATTGTAGAAAATATATCAAATATTTGAATTATTCATATGTTGTTGAAGTTAGTTTACAGAAAAGAAGCTCAGCAGGGATACAGCTGTCCCTTTGTTTTGTTGTATTCCCTTAGTGGAATGAGGAAAGGTTTAATATTCATTTAATTAGGCAGTGTGGTAGAAGGGTTTTTGAAATGCTAATGGATGAAATTATGCAAAACTTCAGAGAAATTAGTTTTATTTGCACTTCAAAAACACATTTCTGCATCTTGTTAGATGGCACAGTAGTATCACAAATGGGTGCTTCTTATTTAAATCTCTTATTTTACAGAGAGCCATGGAGGGACTTACATAATTTCCCATAAAAAGCAGAAGTGTTTCCTCATTAAGTGGGGAGGGAATAAGGTGGCAAATGTTTCTCCTTTTTAACTTGGGATTGAATGAAAACATGGCACAGCACTCTTGTAGTACTTTTACCTTTAGTTCAGAACTAAACAGCTTTTACCACAACTGGGTTTTGACTGTTAATGCCTAGTTGTGGAGCTGGTTGTGTCATGTTGAACGCTTTTGCATCTATGCAGTGTGCTCTGGTGAAGAGCGCTGTGATACACATGGCAATTTACCTCACTCTCACACAAGTGTCACCTTGAAGTACCTGACTTTGTTGTTATGAGATTCCCTTGAACAGATAACTGGCTTTTATTGCAGGCTCAATATTTAGAGCCCCTGGTGAGCTGAAACTACAGTCTATTCCAGAGAATAATAGATCTGAATTCATGAGACTGAGGTGAGGAAAGAACTAGCAGCATGTTTCTCAGGTTGCATTTAACGGTGTGAAGTGATTCATTTAAAATCTGTTCTAGGGAGAACAGTTTGTTCTTACTCCTGCTATCAGTGTAGAAAGCTTCAGGAAGACTCAGAAAGCAGGGTACTGAGGTCTCATTATGAATCTTATTTTAGTTTCCTGGTTTGAAGTTTGGATACTGCAGAGAGTGCAGACCCCATGTTGTTATCAGAAAAAAAATTGAGGAACTCTGATTTCTTAAAGAATTTGTTTAGATGTTGGGGGGAGGAGGAGAAAACTACCCTAGTGCTGTTTTAAATAACTTTTGACTGTTGCCTTTGGGTGTGCATGTCTGCAACAGGAAAGTTTAAGCCCAGAGATTTATCAGGATAGCTACTTGATCAGCAGATTTCTTACATCCATTTTTTGGGACTCGAGGAGTATTTTGTATACAATTTGCCTATTTTCAATCAAGAAATGTGGCTCTGTTCTTAAGGAAGTCAAGACGAGGTGAGCTGAAGAATGTGTTTTTTCTTTTACCTGTGAGCTTCAGTTTTCTGTGCTGTCTGTAGTTGTTTTGACAATTGTATTATCAAGATGCTTTGCAAGGAAAAGTTGTCTTTGGAAGACCCTTCCTGTGTGAAACTGCTACAGCAGTTGAGCTTTAGTTCTTCAAAATGGCTCTAGGTTTTTTGGGAAGGGAAAGAACAGCGTTAAAAAGCTGATCTGAGGTAAGCAGACTAGTGATGTTTTCAAACATCCCCAAACAGTACCTGTAGTAGTTGAGCCCTAGAATGAGTTTTGAAATAGTACAAACTTAAGTCTGTGGTTTGTTTGCTTTTGTTAGTTGTGGGGTTTTTTTGTTTTGTTTGTGTTTCCCTGTGGGATTGTAATGCCAAGTTTAGTCCGAGTTGTTTACTGTGCCAGTTTCTTCAGGATGTCTGTATCTGCTGCCTAGATAGAAAAGCTTCTCTCTTTCCCTCCAGTAACCACTGCTATGTGGCTATGTAATCCAGCTGGAAATCAAGGCACAGCAGAAATTGAGAGTAGGGCCTGTTCAAAGACAAATGGGATTTTATATTACAGTAAGTAACAGAAATTGCTCTACAACAATTGCATTATTTGTTTTAATATTTAAGATAGTTGAAACCTAGATTTTCGTCATGTAAATTGGTATAAAATTCAAGTCGGCAGGCACTGAAACCTCAGACCATGCTGAGTAACTTCTCTGAGCTCTGTGGTGGGCTCTTGCTGAGGCCTGCAGTGAGCAGCATCCATTGCACTGACAATTGAAATTCCTTTGAGAGTCTTGTGGCAGTCCTGAGGGCTTCAGAGAGTTCAACCACTCCCAAAGACTGAGGTTAGGCAGAGTGCTCATTGCTTTTATTTTTTAAATCAGATGCTGTCCAACAGTTACTCGGTTTCAGATAATCCACCCCCAATCCTAATCTCTCATTTTGTCAAGTTCCATGACCCTGAGAATAATTTGTTAACACTCCCTGGTTTTGGCAGAATTGTCCTTTGGACAACCACAATTTTCTGACAGGAATTGTCCTTCGAATGCAAGAAAAGATGATCAGGCTCAGTCAGCATGGGTTAATGAAAGGCAGGTCCTGCTTGACTGACCTGATCTCCTTCCATGACAAGGTGACCCACTTAGTGGATGAAAGAAAGGCTGTGGATGTTGTCTACATAGACCTTAGTAAAGCCTTTGATAACATTTCCCACAGCATTGTCAGCAAGAAACTGTTGCTCGTGTCTTGAATGGGTATACTCTTTGCTGGGTAAAAAATTGTCTGGATGGCTGGGCCCAAAGAGTGGTGGTGAATGGAGTTAAATCCCGTTTGTGGCCGGTTGTAAGTAGTGTTATCTAGGGATCAGCACTGAGGCCAGTTTTGTTCAATGTCTTTAATAATGACCTGGATGTGGGGATCGAATGCACCCTCAATAATTTGCGGACACCACCAGGTTGGGTGTGAAAGTTTATCTGGCTTGAGGGTAGGAAGGCTCTGCAGAGGGGTCTGGACAGACTAGATCGATGGGCCAAGGGCAGTTGTATGAGGTTCAACAAAGCGAAGTGCTGGGTCCTGCACTTGGGTTACAACAGCCCTCTGCAAGGCTACAGGCCTGGGGAAGAGTGGCTGGGAAACTGCTCTGTGGAAAAGGACCTGGGGGTGCTGAGTGGTAGCTGAACATGAGACAGCTTGTGCCCAGGCAGCCAAAAGGCCAACGGCATCCTGCCCTGTATCAGAAATAGTGTATCCAGCAAGACCAGGGAAGTGATCACTTTGCTGTACTTGGCACTGGTGAGGCAACAGCTTGAATGCTGTGTTCAGTTCTGGGCCCTCACTACAGGAAAGATATTGAGGTGCTGGAGTGTGTCCAAAGAAGGGCAACAAAACTGGTGAAGCGTCTGAAGCACAAGTCTGATGAGGAACCCCTGAGGGAATTGGGGTTGTTTAGCCTGGAGTAAAGGGGGCACATTATTGCTTTCTACAACTACCTGAAAGGAGGATGTAGTGAGGTGGGGGTCAGTCTCTTCTCCCAGGTAACAAGTTTGTAACAAGTAACAAGGTACGACAAGAGGAAATGGCCTACAGTTGCACTGGGGGAAGTTTAGATTGGATATTAAGAAAAAATTTCTTCACCAAAAGGGCTGTCAAGCACTGGAACAGACTGCCCAGGGAGGTGGTGGAGTCACCGTCCCTGGAGGTATTTAAAAGACATGTGTGACACTTAGGTTCATGGTTTAGTGGTGGACTTGGCAGTGCTGGTTTAATGGTTGGCTTGATGATATTAAAGGTATTTTCCAACAAAAATGATTCTATCATTCTGTATACTGAACAGCACCAATATGCTGTGTTCATCACTTTATTCAATAGTCTGTCTGTTTTGAAGAATCTCAGCAGCTTCTCATGAGGTTTTCTTTCAGACTTCATCTCTTTGGTCTACTTCAGTACTATTAACTTGAATGCTGGTGGTGTTTTGTTGACAACAGTCTGATCTCAAGGCACAGTTGAATCTTGTATGGGTTTTCCAGGTGGATAGGAGCTTTTCTTGTCTGTTCTCTAAGCTATCTGGTTGAGAGCTTGCTGAAAACAGGATGATGTGCACGTGGTAAGATGGCGCTAATGCACTTTGCTCTCCACAAAATTCATTCATGTCTATGTGGAGCGCAAGCAGAGCATGTTCAGGTCTGCCTGTGAAAGCCACAAACTCACCCTTTAAAGACTACGTCAGTCTGGATGAAGTCCTTAATTATGAGATGTTTGAAAGTGCTAAGAGCTTTATACAAGCACCATAACTATGAAGTAATTCATTTCAACAAAAGCATATTACTGGAAATATTTTTCAGCATCCATGGACTTCAAAGCTGTTGTATAAAACGAAGAGACAGAAAAAAGAATGAGACTTTTCTTTCCTTACGAGATGATGCAGCTGACTTGCTACTTCTTTTTTAGTTCCATTTCAATGACTAGATAATGGTTGAGCAAAGACAGAGTTAAAATGCTGACAGTGGATGCTAGAAGGAAAATCAATAGAGAAAGAAACTGAAGTAGTGTCCCTTTCAAAATGGTTGTGTGGCAGTGTTGCGTTTGGCAAAATTGCTATTTTTGGAGAGGATGCAGCATTTGGTGGCTTTTACAGTTTGTTAATGGCAGACTTTCAAAATAGTGAAAGTGATGAGGGACAACTTTCCATCAAAGAGGCAAAGCAAACTGATTAGCATATGTCTACATTGTGTATGCTAACTATGGCAAATTCATTTTGCAGAACTAAGGGTTCTCTTTGGTTTAAGAACTTGATTTTATTTTGTCTTTGTTGCTACTGATGTTCCTCTTAGGAAGAACTGAAAGAAGAGGACTAAGAAAAGGGAAGAGAGTGCTTTGTACAAGACTGAAAGTCAGACTCTCTTGTCTCTACATCAGTGGTGGTTTGTCACAATGACACCAATGCCAGCATGTTTGTTTGGATTCTCAACAATGTAGGTGACCAGCTGCTTGCTTAATGTACAGTATGCTGCGTCAGTTTTGTTCATGTCATTTGTGTTCAAGGCTTTAACTGAGTAACAGCACAGCAATGCACTTACAGAATGTGACCTTCAGGTAAAGCTTAAAAAAAAGCTTGAAAGAGCATCAAATCCCTTCCAGATCAGATCCTTGCCTGGAAGAAGAGTAACTTCAGTCACTCTCTGCACCTGCTAGAGGTGAAAAAGGGAGGAGGGGAGAATATTGTATTGCTATAGCAGGACCAGAGTGCACAGGAAGAGATTGTCTGACAAGACAATCTTGGATTCAATCTGGGTCTTTCTTCTTTTTAACCTATTTCAGAGTATGGTGGTAAGTGGAAACTGCTCCATTATTTTGCCCAGAACTTCTTTGCACCACTGCTGCCTGTGGCCTACGAAGACAAAGGTGTGTTGTACATTTATGGTGTCTCAGATCTTCATGTGGACCACAAGCTTACTTTGAGGGTAAGTGACACCTCTCTCACTACTTTTGTGTCCCTCCCCCAGAAATGTGAGGAGCTGAAAGGAGCACATCTTTGTATAGACAAGCTTCAGTAAGTCCATGCTAAAACACAATGAGGTACAATTCTTGTCTTTAACTTCTTAGGGGCAACACTATCCTGTATTATAGTAGTGTGTATTGCTTCACGGAACAAGGAATTAACTGTCTTGCTTGTAGTCTGTAGGTATTGGCCTGAAATCAACTATTCTGCTGAGATTTTGAACGTATTGATGCTTAGGGTAAATGAAATGTGAAAAATGGTACCTCGCTACTTAACAAAACTCTTCCGTGGGTGTTAAACTAGATTAACTGACTAAACTGGGGTGGAAAGGAGAAGATTGTACCTTTTCCTGTACTCAAGCTATACCACTTTGGGGAAAAAGAACTAGGTTATTTTCTGAAATATCAATACCTAAGTGTACTTAATTGCAAGGTTGCCTATGCAATGTCATCATTTTACTATTCATGCCCTGACTGTTTTAAGATAATGCTATAAAAACTGATAGGATTCTTAGGCAACAAGTTAGTCATTCTCTAATTCTGTTTCCCAGCACTCCCTTGGCAGGAATTGGCAACCCCTCCTCTCAATGGGAGAGAAAACAAAAAGCTTTCCAGATAAAGAACAACAACAGATCCAGACTGTTGGAAATGAACTTCCTATTAAGTTAATATAATGAACTAATCATTATGCGGTATTGATGGTTCAAATTTTTGTGGAGCTTCTTGCTATGTGAAAATCAGCTGGTACTCTCAGGAGAGCGTCTTTTGTAATGAGCAATCCAAAACCTGGGGTACTGGGTTGTTTTCACAGATGTAACTCTTCTTCTAAGCTTTGTGCTCTCTTGACTTTCTTTGATAGGTCACTGTGTACACCTGGAGTTCTTTGGAGCCAGTATGCATCCTTTCCAAAGGCGGTGTGACTGTTAAAGCACAAAGTGCTGTCCCCATCTACAAGGAGTCCATAAATGACTTTCTGGAAAGATGCCAAAATTGTACTAGGAAAAGCTGCATTATTACTTTCTGTCTTACGGGAGAAGGTGGGCTCCAGAGTCCTACGAACCATCACTTCCTTTCATCACTAAAGGATGCTGTAGGATTGGAAAAGACTCAACTTAGTGTAAGCATCAGTCATGCTCGATTACAGTATTTGGTTTTGCTAATCTTACTGTTTTGAGTTGTTTGCCTTCTCTGCAGTGTCCATGTCCATGTTCCTTCTCAAAATCAGGTGTTTTTTTTTCTTGTGTCACTATATGCACATCTAAATATGACTGGTGGTTTGATTTTGGGATGGTGGATTGTATTTTTTAGGGGTGATGATGAGTTGGTTTTGTTTCATTGTAAATAATGAAGTCTCCATTTGATTTGTTTAGACTGTCTTTCAGCTGACTGCTGTAGCATTGCTCCTTTCACTCTTTTTGTCCCTGGGTAACAGATAGCAGCATGGCAAGTGTTTTAGCTTGTAGACAGTAGCATATGTGTCAGTACTAGGTTATGCTAATTCAGTTGAGTGAGGAGTGAATTATTGTCAGCAGTATTTCCTCCTGAAGTGCTCAAACTCTTAGATCAGTGTAGCATTGCTAAAATGCAATATTACATGCTGCTTTCCTTCTTCAGCAAATCCCTGCCTGCCAGCTCAGGGTTCTGATTTGCGTAGTAGTTATTATTTCTTATTATTTGGCAAGTGTGTCAGCCTTCTGAACAGGCACCAAAAAACATCAGTGTTGTATAACACTGTCATTTAGTCCATTTCCTGCTTTTCCCTAGATTTCTTCTGCTCCTAGCAAGTGTGCTCTATATATAGGGCATTTTTGTTAAGCCTCACTTTTTGGAATGTAAGTCTTGTTGCAAAATTCTTAATCAGCAGACTGGAAGGATGGGGACCTGTGCATTCCCACATATGGCTTCCAAACTTCAGCTTTGCTCTTTACAGCTAAACTAAACAAGGGTGGAATAGAGGTCTGTAATGTCTTTGAATCTGGACAGCATTAATTGTTTTACAAAAAGAAAATGGGCCAGATTTTCCCCTCTTATTTTCATGGCACCATGGCCTGCCTTCTGAGTATGCAAAAGAAAGAAATCAGCCTGGTTTTGTGTTTTATTTTTCATCTGGTGGCACAGTCTGGAGTCTGAGTCATGCTAGGGTTTTTGTGGATGACATCATCAATAATAAAAGCTCTCCAACTGGAGCACTGTTGGGAAATTTCATTCCTTTTTCCGATGGCCGTGTTGTCTCCACGGTGCTAATAAAGATAGCTAGCAAGGATAAATGTAAAGTGGTTATTTTAAGAAAGTATGCAGCTATGATTTGAAAAAAACATTGTTTTGTGAGAAGCTGGTACCACTATACATAGCTACTAATGAACTAGCTAGACTTTCAAATGCATTGCTAATCCATGTGCTACTCTTCATGGCATTGCTTTTGAAACACATGAAAACTCTTGTATTCCTTCAGAAAACATGAAGTGCAAAGAATATGTGCTTTTTCTTAAACATGAATAGTGTTTTTTTTTTCTTGTTAAGTGGGATGTGATTTCTGCACTTAGCATAATTTGACTGCTTTTTATATCTATTTAATTGGTATTTGAAAATGATGTAGCATAATATTTCATTGTGGTGAATGAGAAGTGCTGTATGAAAATGCATCCTGGTTGTGCTTTTAAGCCTCTCTGGGATTTAACTACTGATAGAACTTAATATAAAACGCTATGCCTCATGCTGATATTTCATAGCTGCCTTCTAAATGTAGTATAAGGACTTCACTGTCATGTGCCATTAAGATGAGGGGACCTCTTGTGTTACTGTGACTTTTACCATCTTTTGCCTCTGTGCATTTCTGTTACTGGTGTAATCTGAAAGCCTGGATACTTGAGTTGCTGTAAATTTACAGATTGAGTGAAGTATGTTGATGAAAGGACAAATCTCTTTCACTGCAGTAAGTATAAGATACCAGTCCTACAGACATGTCAGATTACCATTTATTTGTTTATCTGCCTAAGATGATGGTAGAGTGGTAACACCCCATGGCATTTTGCCTTGTCTATAGTATTCATAGAAAGACTATAGTAACATTTGCAGTTTTTACATGATTTTTACATATGAATCCTGTTGGTTTGACCTTTTGTTCCAGACAAGATTTCCAGAAGAGAACCACAATTTTGATCAAATGTGGTTGTTCAGTCTGTTTTACTGACATATCAGGTCTTTCCCAGTTTGGATGTAACTGGGTTCTTTAATACACATATTTATCTATTTATTTTTCCATTTCTCTTCCAGGTCTCTGTTTCCCAACAAGATGACATTTATATATTTGATCTTCATACCACTGCAATTGCTCCTTTTGTTTCTCTGGATGTAGGGAGTATAAAAGGCAGATTTAGTGAGAATGGTTTCCTCATGACTGAAAAGAAGAAAGTCGTTCTGTTTTATCCTTGGGAACCTACGAGCATTGAAGAACTGGAGGAGTCACTAACCTTGACCTCTCTGATGGACATTGTCTGAGAATACTTCATTTCCCTCTAGGCAAGGGGTGAAACAGGAGCAGGAGAAAAACCTTGAAGAATTTGAATGAAGTTGAAGATGTACAATTTGAACTGATTGCAGAAAATTATGTCTATTCCTGTAATGTGTGAATTTTATCTGCTGCTTCAATGTAAAGATAGCAACAGCAAAGCTTGCATATAATGTATGTGGTGTATTGAAAGTAAGGCTTCCTCAGGTAATGGAACAAATATATCCCATGTAGAAAATGGGAGGACGTGAGTCGGTGGAAAGATCTGGTCCAAATTCTCCAGTCCCCATGAGACTGGAGTTGTGAATTCATCCTAAGAGGCAGCACAAATATGCACCTCTAGACTATGGCTTTAAAAATCTTTTTTTTCTTTTCAGTTTCACTATGCTGTAAGTGAAACAGCAAGGTATGCTGGTGGCAAGGGGAAGGGCAGGGGGTAAAGCTGGGTAAAGCTGCCCCCACAGGCATGCCCCACTTGGAGTTGTTTATTTATCTACACTCAAACCAGGAAAGCTCTAGTCCTACCCTTTCAGATCTGTGGCTGTCACTTGATCAGGTGTCTTGCCTGCCTCCTTGCAAGGTAGGCTTCCAAGTAAACATGAAACCAGGGCTGTCTAGTTAGACATCGAGCAGATCTTGTTCCCCCTTCTGAAAGGGGAACAGAGTCTGAGGCTTGTATTCTTCTCTCTTTTCATGCAACGTGAGCAGTAACCTTAAGAGCTCTATGTCTAACTTTGACTATTCCCAGAGAGTGGCAAGTGCAGTCACAAACCTTTTGATGCTGTGTGGATTCTGCATAATGTGGCATAGTACAAGATATGCCTGGCTGTGGGGAAAGGAACAGGGGGAAGAGTAGACCAAAGATGGAAAGAAGAAGGGGACAGTACAGGTAAGAAATGGTCATCTGAGAGGACCACAGTGTTGCAAGTGACTGCTTTTTCTCTAGTAGATGTATAGTGCAGGGGCTGCTGTTTCAGCTTGGGCATTGGCTGCACAGCCATTCTGTTACCTCCTAGCATTCCACATGAATGGCCCTGTGATCCACACTGATCCTTCTCTCTTTCTAACAAAGGAAAAACCTCAACACCTTATTTTTACTTCTTTCTGTGTGGGATCCCCATAGAGGACACTGTTGACTTATGGTTAGATCTGGTGCCACAGTCAATCTGAAGTAATGGTGCTTCAGCTCTAGTCTGTTTCTGAGTAAGTTGTTTTTAAAATGTTAAAATGTTCTAGGGTTTCTACAGAAATGCTGTCTCACTTTGGCCTTTGATACAAAGAAAATAAGCTTGTTTCAGCATCAGGGGCTGCTATAGCCTGTGGAGCTGGGAGCCTGAGGGTTTTGCTGTCAGGGAATTGAGGCCACTGAGCTGTGCCTTGGGCAGGTTGCTAAACACTGGGCTTGTCTGTCAGCAGTGGTTTGAAATGCAGCTGGGATCTTGCTAGGATTCTGCAAGGATCGTCTCACAGCCCTATCAAGTATTAATTTTCTTGAAAAGCACCTAGCAGAATCAGCACTTTACAATGAAAGGTGTTTGAACAAGCTCTACTGGTGATGACCATCTTTGTTCTAAAAGCACCACATGGGTGATGCTTGCTGCGATCTGAGCACGCGTGGGGAGAGCAGCTGCATCTTTCATTGGTCAGTTAGAGAGCTTGGAACTGGGGGGTGTTTTCTTGCAGTGATCAGTTTTAATGGGCAAAGAAAGAGATGAGCATATTGACTGGTGCTTGGTCATCTCTGGTACTTTTTTAATTGGGTGTTAACCAAAACTGGTGTACTCCTGAGCAAGACAAAAAACTTGAAGGTGAAAAGGGAATGATAAATGGAAGTTGGTTACAAATTCTTTGTCAGAGCACCGAAACAACTAACTGCAGTTGCATAGGAGGGCTTCTCTGATGAAAACCTTGCCCTAGTTGAAAGAAAACATGAAAAAAATCAAAATACATGCATGTGCCAATGTTTATAGTTTATGTAAAATAAATGGGGAAAATGATAGTCATGAATAAAACATAACTGTTAGAAAATGCAGACACTGATAAAGGAATTTAAAAGATACCTGAGAGGCATCCTGGGCCAACAACACAAGAAAAATCCTTCAGTTTTTTCAGTGTCCTGGGATCAAAGGGGAATCAAAGCAACGACAGACAATATACAGTAAGAATGAAAAAACTGTGGAGAAAACATGGAATAAATATGATTAATAAATATTGCTGCAGTGTATCAGGAAAAGGGCAGGTTGGTTGATGTCTTTCTCTTACACTGATGTAGAAATTTCTTCCAGCAGCATTCAGGTAGAATTTCAAAATGGCACTTAACAGTGTTAAATAAATAAAACTTTAACAGAGTTACATGTTTCAAAGACAATCAAAAGACAATTCAAAGACATAGGCCTATATGAAGGTCAATGATACTGTTCTTAGTGTTAGTGAAGTTTTGGAGATGTAGAAAAGAGCTTTTTGTTTGCTAGAAGCCATAAGCCTTGAATGTGGATTACTGTGACCTTGTTTAGCCTGTCATGAGTTTTAGGCAAAATCATGAAAGAAATTATGTGGCATGTGATCAAATTGAGAAGTGGCTCTGCAACTAATGCCTGTCAGCACTGCTGTGCAGAAAGAAGAGCATTCTGCTGTTGCTTTGTGCAGTTTTATGCCGATTGGCATAAAAAAGTTCAGACAATTTCTAAATTATTGTTAGTTTTGAAGGTCAGAAGCTCCCTAAAGAGTGGGTCCATTCTTTCTTACTGGAAAGCTTTAATTCAGCACTAGGTGCTGTTATGAAAGATTAACAGTTGCTTACGGCAAATGCTTGAGTTCAAAACAGAATTAATGGTGGAGGTTCACTTCATTATTATCTTAATACCCTTAATATTCAAATGAAAAAAGAGTCTTATAGAAAGTGGAAGCAAGGACAGGCAGCCTGGGAAGAGTACAGGGATGTTGTCCAGGAAGCTAGGGACCAGGTTAGGAAAGCTAAGGCCCAGTTAGAATTAAACTTGGCTAGGGATATTAAGGATAACAGGAAGGGATTCTACAGGTACATAGCAAATAAAAAACACACTAGGGAGAATGTAGGCCCCCTCAGGAAGCTCTTGAGTGAACTGGCTACTGTGGGTTTGGAGAAGGCTGAGGTTCTGAATGACTTCTTTGCCTCAGTCTTCACTGGCAAAGGCTCTGACCGCACCACCCAAGTCTTGGAAGGCAGATGCAGGGACTGTGAGAATGAAGACCTTGGGCCCACTGTAGGAGAGGAATTGGTTCGAGACCATCTTAAGAACCTGAACGTTCACAAGTCCATGGGTCCTGATGAAATCCATCCACGGGTCCTGAAGGAGCTGGCGAATGAAGCTGCTAGGCCACTGGCCATCATATCTGAAAAATCATGCCAGTCAGGTGAAGTTCCCAAAGACTGGAAAAAGGGAAATATAACCCCCATTTTCAAGAAGGGGAAAATGGATGACCCGGGGAATTACAGACCAGTCAGTCTCACCTCTGTACCTGGCAAAATCTTGGAGCAGATTCTCCTGGAAGGCATGCTAAGGCACATGAAAATCAACAAGGTGCTTGGTGACAGCCAGCATGGCTTCACTAAGGGGAAATCCTGCCTCACCAATTTGGTGGCCTTCTATGATGGGGCTACAGAACTGATGGACAGCGGTAAAGCAGTTGATGTCATCTACCTGGACTTGTGTAAAGCGTTCGACACTGTCCCACACGACATCCTTGTCTCTAAATTGGAGAGACATCAATTTGATGAATGGACCACTCGGTGGATAAAGAACTGGCTGGATGGCCACACACAAAGAGTTGTGGTCAATGGCTCAGTGTCCAGCTGGAGACCAGTAACGAGTGGTGTCCCTCAGGGATCAGTGTTGGGACCGGTCTTGTTTAACATCTTCGTCGCTGACATGGACAGTGGGATTGAGTGCGCCCTCAGCAAGTTTGCCAATGACACCAAGCTGTGTGGTTCGGTTGATACGCTGGAGGGAAGGAATGCCATCCAGAGGGACCTTCACATGCTTGTGAGGTGGGCTGATGCCAACCTCATGAAGTTTAACCATGTAGCATGTGCTTTGGTGAACTATTTTCCCTTGATACTTTTGCCGTTGCATAATGTGTGAGGTTCACTTCATTATTAATACCCTTAATATGTACTTTTGGTTTCCTGGTTTTGTCATGGGTATGTATTTATATTTGTTATATTCCTGTTTCCCACATACAGCCGTGGCTGTAGCATGTGCCTTTTTTAACTATTTTCCCTTGGCACTTTTGCTATTGCCTGCTGTGTGTGCTATATTTGGTTACATTATTCTGCCTTTACCTCAGATCAGGGCAAAGATAGGAATGCAACAGTGAAGAGATCTTCAGAATCCTATTGCCTCTATGGACACATCCATCTGTAGCCATCTGGCTGTTGTGGCCACTCAGCAGCAGCTGTATTGCCGTTTTGTATCTGACGGGCTGGGGATCAGCAGCAGGAGCGTTGGGAAGAGCATTTGGTAAGTGTCATGGTGTTTATCCTCAGTGTCATTAAGTTACTGGTTGCAACTGTAGAGGGGAATGGTCTCATCAGTATTCTTTCAGGGTGCAGGCTTGCAATGTTTTGTTCAATGGACCACTGGTTTCCTTGTGCTGATAGGCCTCAGTTTGTGTCTGAACTCCCTCTGGCCTGTTCTAGATGGCAAAAGCAGCAGAGTTCCCCTTGGCAGGAGCCATGACAAATGCCCTTCCAGAACAGAACTTGAGAATAAGTTTTGGAAGAAAGCTGTATGGCATTGTCTAATTTGTTGTCCTAAAACTGATCTCTGACAGATATTGGCTCTGAACCCCTTCAGGACCCACAGAGACCATTTCGAGCTCTAGAGAGCATGTCTTTGTTGGTACCTTCTGCCCCACAGCAAAGATTTATTCTGCTCCAGTTTGCTTGAGCATTTCCTTGGAAGCTTTTCCAAGTTCTACTACATCTTTTCCAGGAAAGAAGCATGTGAATGTGTCTTAAGTTCCTCTCTTAAGTATTAGCTCTTTGCCAGTCTCTGTTGTTACCTGCTGTTTGCATACCTTGGGGGCCTGAACAGTTTTTCTGCCTTAGAGGCACATCTTTCTTCAGTACCTTTACTTCTACTAGTCCCCTCTTGGCTTTGGAGGTGTGTAGCAGAGACCACTTCAGTGACCTGTAGCAGTGCTGGGTGCAGAGGAACAGGCCAGCACATTTCTTATTCTCAGTCAAGGACAGTTGAGTTTCGTAGCTTACAAGCCAGCCTTCATGGTGCCAGAATTGCAGTTTTCTCTCTTACCCTCTGAGAGGGTAAATTGAGTCATCCAGGAACTTGTGGTTTGAATGCTTAAGGACATGTTCCATTCAAAGAATTGGGTTTACATAACTGCTTTCCAGTCAGATGTTACAAGATCATTAAATGAAAGCCCCAATTTTACTTTAATTAGGGTGCAAAACCAAAGCTTAAGTGAAGAATATAGAACCTTAAGATTACTTGGTTTTGTGCCTGCCAACACTGAGAGAAGGCCATTTTACTGTAGGAAGTAGAACAGTTAGTAAAGACCTGTAAATGTCAGTTTTGATTATTGAAGTATGCATCTGCTACCCCTCTGCAAGTGCTCTGGCCACAGGTTTTGGTTTGTACTGCGCTAAATGTAGGATTTATTGCCTGGGATACTTAAGAAGATACTGAGGTGATTGCACATCTGAAGAGAAGTAAGGCATTTATGATGCTCCCGTCTTCCTGATAAACATGTTTGTATTAGCTAGCCCAGCAGGTATGAATACTACTCTGCGTGTGTGTGAACACATGCGTGTGCTGACTCAACTGGAATGTTGGCACGTGCTGCTGTAGGCCACAGGTTAACTGATGTTAAGTCAGTCACAAGTGTTTGCCCTTGCAGTGTGTCATGAAGTTCACTGACCTGCTAGTGCTCTTCTGTATTGTGAAAATAGCAAGGGCAAATGGATGGCTGAAAAATTGCTATAGCTGCATTTAAGTAAGTCCATGGGGGGAACCTGTACAGGCTTTAAATAATATACATACTACAGCCTAGCTCTAGGCAGGGCACCGGAGTGCTTCCTGAAACTCTGACTACAGAAAAGCAACTCCTTGGTAATTAACTTGTGCTGTCTTTTGCTTGTAGCAGTAGGAATCTTTTGAAGCCAGAAAAAGGTTGGTCTGCGCCTTTGGCAGTTACTCCAGAGCTGCTCTAAGAGCTGATTGTGCACTCCAGGAGAGCTGTGGCTGATGGGTGAGTATTGACCATTGCACCCTGAGCTAATGAATGGGCATCACTGTTCCTATCACTTAGAGGGAGCAAGGAGAGTTGCTGGTTTTCCTTTAATGTAGGAACAGCATTTCAGTTGCTCAGAGAAGGGAGAGAAGACACAGGTAAGATTCTTATCCTTCCTGCAGTCCACAAAATCTCAGAATGCTGCCTAGAACGTCCCACTACCACAGAGATTTCCAAATTTGTAAATACATCCCAAGATGATACCAGAAACTTGCAGTTGTGCCAGCCAACCTAAGGTCAAGGGCAGTTTAACTATCTAAATAATCCTTTTTACATCAAATGAAGAGAAAATCTGTAGTGTTCCGTTGTTACAACTTAATTTTGCTACATTCCACAAGTTTTTGGTGTTTATTACTGGAGTAAAGTAGCAAATTCATGTGGCAAGTTCCAATTACTGCAAGTGCGGATTAAGTTTGGAATTATTTCAGATTTTGGTCATCTCTGTAATTAATTTAAAATTTAATACTAAACTTGACTGAGGGTACCCAAAGGTTACACCTCGCTACATTCCAGGAGAAAAAAACAACCCAACTTATTCCTGACTTTTGAGAACTCGGTTTTGTTCCCCTAGAGGTAATACGGAATACGGACAATACCCTGTGCTACAAGGTGTAGCAAGGTCCACATGCTAGCTTACTGTGCTGAATGAAAACATAAGGCTGAGTCACACCATTACTACCTTCTCTTTAGCAGGTAAGTGAGAGAGGTTTCTCTCTGTAAGCCAGGTATGGACAGGAGCTCTCAAACAGCAAATTTCTGGGTTCCTGCAGGGCTATATTTTTAGTTTATTCCATCACACTTGTGAAATAGGAATGGCACCTTCCTTTCTGGGCAAGGAGGTATAAGGATAAATCTGTGTCTGGGGCAGATATGATGCTGAGGCATGTAAATGTATCTTGACAATTACTGTTAGGAAGAATACATGTGCTTTAAATGCTTCTGTCAGGACTTGTCTGCATCACTTACACTTCCTCTTGCTAAGCTTGGTGCCTCTATATACTGCCTTCATCTTGTACCTGCAACGAGACTGACCTCCGAGATGCCATCGGGACAGGAATTAGCATGCCCTTTACAGGGTGACCACTTACTAATAAGAAAAAAGATAGAGCAGAAAGAGTAAACCTTTGTGTTTTAGCATCTTCTTTTAATTGGGCTGCCTGAGGTCAACACTAGGCTCTCCCCTAGGTTTGTGCTGGCAAATGAAGACTACACAAGAATCACAGAATGGTTTGGATTGCAAGGGACTTTATCTAATTTCAGTGTTTCTGCCATGGGCAGAGACCCCTTCCACTAGACCAGGTTGCTCAAAGCCTCATCCAACCTAGCCTTGAACACTGCCAGGGAACAATGTCTCCTACTAGATGTTGTGCCACTTTCTGTAGCGTCCTACACTAGCTGGTATGTTCTACTCTCGCCTAGTTCTGACAAACTGTGTGTCATGCCTGCAACACATACTTAAGTGCTAAGGGTAAAAGCAGATGGGAAAAGTTGTCCTATTATGTGACTCAACTGTAAAAATGTGATGTTCCTGTTTGTTTGAATTGGTGAGGATACATTTAAGTTAATATTTTCCTATTTCTAAACAAAGGTGGGGGTGGGGGAGTAAAGGGCCCAAAGCCTCTTTTGTTAAATAGACTGAAACTGAAATGCTGCAAGGAAAGAAGCTGCCAAACTGCCATTTATAGCCCTTGAATACCCAGAGCCTAGGGAGATGTCCCGCTGTTTAGTGCATAATCACTAACCTGACGAACAGCTATTATGCAGCATTTGGTTGTGAAGTGCTTAAGGAAATACAGACCCAGGTGTCTTTTGGTGGTTTAAAAGCAGAGCTGCTCAGAAATAAGGCTAAAAGGTATGAATCAGCAGCCAGGGATGTCCTGGTGACCTGCAGGATTGTAGAAACCTCAGTAAGTCTCTGCCAGCCCCTTCATTGTGCTGGAAATTCTGTGGCAGCAGAAGGTGCATTTAACTTGGACAGCAGCTCTGCCAGGGCTCAAAAGGCTCCTCCATCCCCAGAATATGAGCAGGTTTGCCTTTTTCTGTTACTGCTGGAATGCAAACAGAACACTGGACATCTACATTAACTGAACAAAAGCCCTATGCCTTTAACACTGCATGTGTAGGTTACGCATCTTGTGTCTCTGGAAGTGAGCAACATACTTACTAATCTAGATGGATATAAAATAATTTCACAAGGATCTTTTTTCATTACAACAACTACTGTTCTTAACAATTCTCAAAGTTTCTCTTGATTTATTTTCTCAGGCATGACACCCAGGTTACTGAAGACTAGGCAAGACCAAGAACAACACTGTCAATCTCCATCTATGGGCCAAGAAAACTGCCTGCGAGTGACCATGGTATGATACTGCTCTGCTTTTTCATCCTGAAATCAGATACCTGTTCTGCATCCTTAGTAAGGCCAACATCTGTAAGTTACACTATCTATCTCAGAATTAACATGAAACAAGAAGAAATACTGCTCAGAAATGGTTATTAGAGGAGTTTCTAGGCAGCCCGAAGAACTGTCTCATCAGAGTTTTGCTGGGATGTTAAATAGATGGTTTCAGCATAGATGATTCTCTGCTGCTGAAATTATGAGAACTAAAAGAGACCATGAGTCAGAGGCTTTAGTTCCAAAGCACAGCTGCTCAGCAGTAGCTGATTCTCCTGTTCTTCCACCATAGGAGATAGATACTTAAGTGCTAAGAGAGGTGGCTTGTAAGCCTTTATTTATGTATGGCAGTACTTGGAAATCAGCACAATCCTTGTATCAGTGCTGAAACCTGAAATGATAAATCTGTAATTCCACTTGATATCTGTGTAAAAATGACAGCAAGGTAGACAAAAGAATTTATTTTGGGGTTTTATTATAAAAGTAAAATAAAAATAAGCATTTAAAAAGCACACTTCTGTTTTTTTTAAAGGAAGAGATATAAAAAAACTATTTACAATAGGAAAATGCCAAACTTGAAAAATTTGAATAAGAGGCACCAAAGTTAGGTTTAAATACATTATTTGAAATATACAAGATTATTTTTTTAGGATCGTCTTTTCTCTCCAGGTTGTCATTGTTGTGATTAAAGTAATAATTTTTCTTCGCCAGCTATTTTATATGCTTTTTCCATGCAACTCTGCTGCAAAAACTATGAAGAGTGCAGTTAGAAACTGCACCCTTTGATTGCTCTGTGTGCCTTACCTCTTCTGATTGAGCTGGTATTACGCACTAACAAGGAGTGACTTTCACCTATAAAGGAAAATCCTCACAAGCCAGAAAAGCTCAGACAGTCATTCACAGTGTCCAGCCCTGTGTATTAATGCAGCAGGAGAGCCCTAGTTACTGTATATGGTGTGTAAATGAATACAATTTAGATGTACTTGAGGAAGCATGCACTGGCTCGGAGTTGAAGTTGCTTTTGGTTCAGGTTTGTGTGTGGCTCCTCCAGTGCACCTTTGGTTGTCAATTCACTTCCCTCTGGCCAGGATGATATCGATGTAAATGTCCTGTAACTGCATATTGCTAATTGAATATTGCTAGTTGGCTATATAATTGCTTTGCATTGAACTTTCATGTCCATGACCCAGGGTCATTTTGCTAAGTGTTACTGATGACTTGCTGCTCAGAGAGTCCGAATAAGTAAAGCTCAGTTTGCGGAAGGAGGTCTCCACACCACTGTCACACACACTGTCACTGTCTTGAAATTTGTTGTTGGAGAACTCGCCTGAAGGAGACAGCAGAGGGAAATATATTATCATTTGTGTTGCTTCATTAATGTTGCTTTCAGAAAAGCCTAAGGAATGTAAACCAATAGGGTTAAAGCTCTTCTATAGGATACTAGGATCTGAAAAGCTGTGCTGAACATTTTCACTTGACCAAAACATGTAATGTGATTCACTGCTTGCAGAGACTGACTGCAGCTGCAGCCTGGATGGGGCAAGAAGCCTGGTGCTCTGCTGATTCTAGTGCTGTCACCACACTGGTAAGGACTCTGCCTGAGTGTGGTAGTAGTAGGGCGAAAGATTCTCAGATTCAAAGACTGTACAAGTGTACAGCCCCAGGATGAGGCTCCTAAAATATTCTCCTGTTATTTCACTTACAGATTTCTTTTTGAGACAAATACTTGAGCAATTTTCATTTATTAAGTGAGCCTGAAATATGAAGAAGTCAGCAGCAGCTGTTTTCTGTGCAAGATCCACAAAAGGAGTGCCTGACTGCAGGACAGTATCCGAGCTGAAGGTACGACATGGGCTCAAGTGTGAGTAGAACAGTGGTCATCACATTAGAGTTCAGTACTAGTTTTCTAAACAACCATCTTAAAATAAGTAAGTGACATGATGCAATCCATTCATGTTGCAAAGCAGCAGAACCTCTCTTACCCTTCAAGATTAATCTAAAGAGGCAATATGTGTACAAGCACATTTTCGGATAGGTGTGAAGGTTCATTCTTGACTGAACAGTTTTCTATAGGGAGTAAACTGGCAATGTTAAACCAGGATGGACTTACTATGGTGTTTCTTTTTTCTTTCTAGAAATACTTACAGAATTCCCACATAGGGTATAAGTTTCCACGTTAGGGTGCTGGCAGCACTACCGGTGTTTGCACAGGGCAGACAAAGGCTATTGTTACTTACAACATGGCCAGGCAGTGACTGAACCTCCCTGATGACTTACTGCCTTCTCACAACCTCTGCTTTTCTGCTAATAGAGGACCTCCACAACTGAAGATGCTCAAAACTCAATGGGACAAGACATGGGTGACCTCATGTAATGTAATACTGGCCCTGCTCTGAGGGGGTAGTTGGACACCAGCATGTCAGGCCTGGGAGATCATTGGCTAGTTTATCTTTTGAAACTTATCCCCAGTACATCCAAGGACATACTGATTTACCATCAGTAAATGGCAGATGTCTGGTTTTAGAAAAGGGAGGCAGTATAATCAATACTGTAATGCAGGGCTACTGATTCAAATGGTCCATTTTCCCCCTCTCCTCTAGGCCTTAGCAAATATCTGTGGCTAGCAAGTTGTGCTGCAGTACAATATTTCTGAAACAGAGAAGCAGGATGGGCAGTGTGTGTAGGAAACACTGATGTATGGACAGCCCAAGGCGAGGTGGGAGAACTGAATAAAATGCATTTTAAATAAAGTTTTGGGGTCAGTTTTACCTGTCTCTCCTTTTGCAAAGGTGGGTGGTGAAGAGAAGAGAAGAGCTTTTGCTGTATTGTCCTCCACGTGTGATGAGCTTTGTGAGCTGGAGAGTGCTTTCTGAACGATTTCAATGGCTTCTGTGTGATCCATCTGTCTCAAAGCAGCAATCAACTCCTGAACCGTGCCACCAGAAACCTAAGAGAGAAGACACCAGATGTTTACCATCAGCCAGGCTGGTAAAGCTGAAGGGCTGCACTGTTTCACCATGCAGGAGGACAACATTCTCGACATGTCTTGAGTTCTTTAGAACTTGTTCCAGCCACATTACCTCATAGTTATCGAGCAGAGTTTTCGATGGGGAAGGGCTCAACCTGAAGGCATTATTAAGTATGCCAAGACCCAATTTTTGTGCTAGAGTGGACCAGTTTTTGTTTGGATCAGGCAATTCCAATAGTTCGTAAAGTTGCATCTTTGAGCTTTCATTCAGGTCTCTCAAATGCCCTGGGGAACAGAGAAATATGTTAGTTTATTTTTTACACAAATCATGCACTGTTCCATTTCTAAGTACAAACAAAGCCAAATTAAACAGTACTTTAGTGTCCATCAATCCCAATGTTTACTAATGTAATACTGAAAACATACTCTTTTGTGTCATTCATTCTATGAATGAGGGGTGAGAGGGTACCTCTTCTCCCTCCCTATTTCAGTTACAAGCTATTGCAGGGTAATGTCTTCTGCAAGTACACTTTAAGTACTAAGTTACTAAAGGTATCCTGTCAGTTGTCTTTACAGATGTTACCTTGCATCAGTAAATCCTCTGAAACCACTGCTGACTCATAGGGTTTGCCATTTAATATGTCATACACCTAAAAGAATACAGAAACCTAGTTAGTGGCCAGTATCTTGAAAAGTCTCAGTATAAAGTCCTAATTCCATCTGTAAACGGGCAGATTTTTCTGCCTCAGGAACAAAATGACTAAAGGTACTGTAGAAGACCTGTGCAAAGCTTGAGGGAGAAATCTTGAGAAGTTAATTGCCCTTGCCGTATGTCATCTGGCAACTGTTTTCAAGATACAGAGGAAGTCTTTGCAGTAAATAACCAGCAGGAGCAGTGGCTATTTGAGGAGTTATTACCTGTCTGCAACTAGTAATTTAAAACAAAGCCTAGATTTTCACCTAATGCTAGTACCACTCCCCAGCACAATTATCAGAAATGCTTGACTGCTTGTACCTTACACTCATACCAAACCAAGTGGACATAATCAGCTACTAAAGCATGGACCGTGCAGCCTGATCAACTGTTTGGGTAGGACAGAAGAGTATGCTTTCTCTGCACATAAAGTCTGCGATTCTGAAGAATGCTGAACTTTAGCAAAGAAACCCACTAGAGAGCATCTCTGAACATGGGCCTTCAAACACAAGCTGCCCAACCAGCTAAATACTTTTCCATACTAAAGATGGTAGTGCAGCTATTTCAGGAAGTGCCTGGTCACTCCTGTTCAAGTAGCCTGTTAAGTGGAACTTCCTTCCAATGCTATTTCATGTAGGGGGTTTATGGTTGAATTAAATTCTGATGGCAAATTAGTAGCTTGTCAGGACTGAAATAACTGTGTATGCAGTGAAAGGAATTAGCTGAGAGACCTATCATTTACTATTAAAATAATAGATCATGTACCTCAGAGTTGGCCGCCATATCCAGTGGTGTTGTTCCAGGCACAATCCCTTCATCGTCGTCCTCATCATCTTTCACGTCATCTAGATAAAACAACGGCTCAAAGTTCTCAATGTGAGGATTTGCACCTGGAAAACAAGTGTGCAAAAGAATGCCTAAGAGAAGGCTTCAAGTTGCTTTGCAACAGTATTTAAAACACGTATTCTAAACTCCAAATGGCAAATTGGCTAATTTAGGTAATTTTTTTATCAACTAAAGTTAGATGCTGTCACATCTCTGTATAAAGCTACTCTCCATTGTAAAGAGGGAAAATACGACACGTGTTAGGTCCCAACAACTGAGCTGCGATTCTATCAACTGACTGAGGCCCATTCTTGGCTCACACTGAGCGTAGCATGTATGTGATGAAGCAATGCTGTGGTGCTTCTTTTTATAGTGTCAGGGAAAATGTGGGTATTACAAAGACCAGGCACACAGCCAGAGCAATGAAAGTTTGGATTTCTGTTTCAAAGGAGAAAAATCAGGTCTAAATACAACTGAAATACAATTTCAATAACTATTCAAACCTAACTCTTCCACAGTGATATGAAATAGGAGACACTAACAAACTCGTCTTTCAGTGACCTATTTTTTGTTTTTAAAGTAGCCCAACACTTATTCAAACTGTGTAACAGGGTCTCTTCTTTGCTGCTACAGCTATAAAAAACTACAAAAGAAACACTGAAAAAACTTCCACGAGTGCCAAGGTATTTTTCTTGACTAAAATAATTTGCCTTTTTAGCCGTTAGATGGTGCTACAGAGTAGTACAGCGCCTGAAAGTAGGACTTTCCTGATGAAAAACAAACCTTTAGGCTTTAACATCTCATTTCTCCTGCTCATTAAAAGTTCAGTGGCGCATTCTTATCTGCTTGCAGCCTTCTAACCTGAATTGTCACTGTGAAAGAGAACTCTCCAGCAAAAATCTATTTTCATACCTGCTGCTTTGAGAACTGCTGCCAATTTTGTAGAGCCCCTTCCAGCTGCTATGTGAAGGGGAGTTGTTCCATCATACGTAGTGCTGTCCACATCTGCATCACCCTGAGTTTTTATTGAATGACAGAAAGAAAAGTGTCACATGTCTGTACAGTAACAGCTACAGAGACTCATGCACTGCTACTGCGCAGGCAAGCACCATTCCACGCCTGTTTGAGTAAAACTCTCATCGTTGTCTGAAAAGAAGGAAGTAGAAAGTAACTTCAATTGTCTGCATTCAGGAACAGATGGTGTGCTCCAGCAGGAGGCAGAGCACAGAAACCCAAATAGCTCAGGCAGATAAAAGCGACTCTTCACCCCATGCCACCCGATCACCCACGGTGCGTGGCGTGTAAACTGGTATGCACAGAATTCCTGTTGCTCCTTGTGACAGCAGGTAGGCTGGAGGCACAGTCACACATGGATACTGAGGAAACCCACCACAGCCAGCTGTGGGTGTGTGAAATTAAGCATGCTATGATCAAGGTGTTTCAGAGATGAGACAAATATTCATAGATATACACAACTATCTCTCTATGCACTCCGGTATCCACGTTCCACTTCACACAGATGAAGCAGTTGTTCACAAGCAGTTTCACTGGTTGCTGGGATTACTCAGTGCAAACTAAATGTAGCATATGGGCTCAGGTCAGGGTCACAAACTACATTCCACAACTTTGGCAAATGATTCACCAGCAGGGCTGAAAAGGTAGTAACGAGTAACATTAGCAATAATTTTGCCATTACACCAATTTAAGTAATCAAGTCAATAAACAGGAAACCCCCCTTACTTCTGTTCCTCTGAAGCACTTAAGGATTTTCAAGAGTTTTTAAATATGTAAGTGAAAAGATGTGGGAAAAAGAAATTCTGCCCTTACCTCAAGCAAAAGGCAACCTGCCAAGGGGATGTTCTCTTGTTCAACAGCTAAATGCAATGCAGTTCGTCCTGATTTTTGTTCCTGAGCATTGATGTTAACTCCAGCAGCAATCAGCTGTTTGAGGCAGGACATGCTGTTTGCCATCACCACCATGTGAATTGCACTCAGACCTGCACAAAACAAACCCCATCCATCACATGCATTAGTATTTAAAAAAACAGAGAAATGTCAGAGCAATGAGTTTTGAAGTGGCCACACTGTGACAGCTATAAAATGAGTGACAGTTACTGTAGTTAACTGAGCAGAAGTGACAGACTTTGCCTGCTAAAAGATGGCATTAATAAACACATTCTTTGTGTATAAATTGGTACTAGTTGTGTTACTGATAGCAAGCCAAAGCCAGGCATGAAAAAATATAATCAGCAGAACACAAGGTGAACAGAAGGCAGGAACTGAAGAGCTCACCTAGAGCATCTCTTTGAAAGGAGAGTAGCTTTAAAAAGAAAATCTGCATGGTACTAAACCAGCCGGTATCCTGCATCAGCCCCATCTGCTACTGAACATCTCTGCTAGTCTGGGGAATCACGGGTATTTTTTACTGTCATCCTCCTGTAAGGTCACACAGCCCTGTCACCTCAAGATTATCTGCACCAGTCCCCAAAAAGAATAACAATGCCTCGTGTTTAAAAACAAAACCCAACCCAACCAACCAACCAAAAAACTACTCTCTCTGAGGAACTTTACACAGTTTTTTGAATCCCATAATGACATTTTTAGGTCAGACACTTTACAACGTACTAGTGCAGGAGTACTACATTCAAGTGACCGATGCCATTGAAAAACAGGAGAATTGTGTCTTTGTGGTTAGTTTATAGGCTCTAGTTCTGTATGGTCACCAAGCACTGGATATGAAACTCAACAGAGGTCCAGAAATTATGTTTGAGGGGATTTTATTTACTAGAGATGAAGAGGAAACATTACTTCTGGAGGATTTTTTTTTTTAAAGCAGTGGTTGCATAGGGTACTCAGGAGGAACACAGTTCTTGATGTTTTCAGAGATTAAAGACAATATACAGTAATAACTTTAAAATCCATACTGTGTCACATGGCCATTACCAATCCTTATGTTCTGTATAACCAGAAAACCTACATGTCTGTGTTCTCTCATCTGTGACTACTGCAGGCATACAGAAGTCAAGGACAGCACATGCAGCATGGGGAAAGATGTCATTTCCAAGGTCTGTCTCTACCTGTGTAGAGACATTGTGTTGGCCGGAAGCTATGTTGGCCCCATCCGTGTCAGTGTTCAAAAGCCAGGTTGGATGGGGCTTTAGGCAACCTGGTCCAGTGGAAGGTGTCCCTGCCTGTGGCAGGGGAGTTGGAACTGGATGATATTTAAGGTCCCTTCCAACCCAAACCATTCTCGGTTGTATGATGAACTGAGGTGTGCTTGTCTGGTAG